CTCCTCCGCCCCTGGGCGCACACCTCTGGGTGCAGACTGCAAAGCTCCTTTCCTTGCGAGAAGTGCAAAATTTTCGAGAGCCAGAGGCTCGCCCACCTGGTACAGAAGGAGCGCGCGCCTGAGTCCCTTGGGGCTCCTCAGTTGCGAAGAGACAGCTGCTTGGTCACCCACTTGTCCAGACTATAGGATCCTCCCGAGACACTCTTTGAGTTACAGCTTTCTGCAGAGAGGACTGGCTGACCCCGCAGAGCTCTTAGGATTTTCAGCGTGCTGATACTGGAGGCTTGCACACCGCGCTCTCCCGACCCTGGGACACACTCGCCCGATCCTCAGGAGTGTGCAGGTGACTGGCATATCATCTCTTCGACTCTCCATGAGCTCATGAACCTGGGAGCAGGCGTCCGGCGATGGCGCGGCCTCTGAGCGACAGGACCCCGGGCCCCCTGCTGTTGGGAGGCCCGGCCGGGACCCCCCCTGGCGGGGGAGCGCTGCTTGGGCTGCGGGGCCTTCTGCAGGGGACCAGCAAGCCCAAAGAGCCAGCCAGCTGTGAGTTCTAGTCCCACTGTCTTAAGGACTCAAATGTTGGGGTTGGTGGTCTATGGCACCTATGTGCCCCATCTATGCCTCATTCGGTCACTCAGGTGTCTAAGTCTCACCGTCCATGGCCAAATCTGACATCTGAAAAGCCCAAGGATCTAGTCCCCAAAGTCTTCCGCCATTAGGACGCACCCTATGTGCCAGCCCCCCTCTTTTTCCCTTTAGTCTCGGGGTCTGGACCCCTGGAGTCCTGGGGAAGGGAGGGGGTGTGTCGGATGCTCACACGGTGCTGACACGGGCTTGGGCGGGGCCTACGATCACGTGGAACCCAGAGATGAGGAATGTGCCCGAGCAGTGGAGCCCCTTCCTGCCCCGAACATTGTGGGGGAGGGGATGAGCGCTAGGGGTGGGGGAGTTACTGAGCTGTCACTTTTTCTCTCTCACCTGCCCAACCTTTGACCCACCCTGTGTCTAATTCCCTTTCTAAACCTCCATCCCTTTTCTCTGGGTTGTTAATGTGTCTCTATCTCTATTCCTCTGAACGCTCTTCCTCTCTTCGGGTCCCTGTCGTCCCGTCCCTCTGTCTGGGTCTCTTCAACCCCCGTCTCTGTGCCTCTCTCCTCTTTCTGGGCTCCTGTCTCCCTACCTGTTCCCACGTCTTTGGGTCTTTGCTCTACGGCTCCCGTCTCCTCACCTCTTTGCATCTCCGCCATGCGGGTCTCTATACTTGAATCTCTTGACCTGGGGTCCCCCCTGTGTGTCTCCACCCCATCCCGTCTCTCCCTGACCCACAGGTCTCCTAAAGGAAAAGGAGCGGAAGGCGACTCTGCCCTCAGCTCCCATCCCGGGACCGGGCCTGGAAACGGCTGGCCCAGCCGATGCCCCGAATGGGGCGGTTGGTGGCGGTGGGTCCCCGCGGGGGCGCACAGGGCCGGTGGCCGGCCCGAGTCTTTTTGCGCCGCTGCTGTGGGAACGCACTTTGCCTTTCGGCGACGTGGAATACGTGGACCTGGACGCCTTCCTGCTGGAGCACGGGCTCCCGCCGAGCCCGCCGCCCCCCGGAGGCCTGTCGCCGGCACCCTCTCCAGCACGCACGCCCGCGCCCTCCCCGGGGCCCGGCTCATGCGGCTCTGCGTCCCCTCGCTCCTCGCCGGGGCACGCCCCCGCGCGGGCCACTCTGGGAGCCGGCGGCGGCCACCGCGCAGGTGCGGCGAAGGGGCGGGGCTGGCGGGCAGGGGATGGGCTTCGCGACGCTTTTGGAAGTCTGCCCAATGAGATGCGGCGATGCGTTAGGGGACCTGGGCCCCGAAATGTGAGGATTATCCAGTGAGAGGCTGTTGTTTTTCTTCAGGAAAGTTTTCTCACGTTCCTGGATTCAAGACTAGAAACTCAGAACTCCTTAGTTAACTGGGGAGCGGACTGACTCCAAGTCTGAGTCCAGAATTTTGGGAAACGAGATAGGACTGGACTGCAGGGACTTCTAAAATGGGAGCAGGCCAGAGCCGGGCCCTGGTCCCCGCATCCTCTTCCCCCACCCCCTAGTGGAGGACGTTGCACCCTGGCTCCCCGCGTCTTTCAGTAGAGAATGTCCGGGTCCCATTCTGTGTTGTCCAGAGGGAACGCCCCATATTCCGGCGACGGGGACTTAGTGGAGTTCCGCTGTCAGAGGGCTTGTCAGGCCGGTTCTCCCATGATCCCCATAAACGCGGGGTGGGTGGGAAGGATCCTTGGAGTTGTTGGAGCTGAGACCAAAAGGAACAAGAGGGGAGGCGACCCCTATCAAGACAAGGAGTCTCGTTGTGGGACGCCTGGGTACACCTGTCCCTGATCCGACCTCCACGCAAAACCAGTGATGCACATTCCCGCGCCACGTGAGTCCTCCCTCCCTGCGGCGCGCACGCGCTCTCACGCGCGAGGAGGCGGGGCCCGGGAACGTGAGGGTGCGTGGTGGGGGGAGGGAGCAGTCGGCTACACGTGACGCGGCCCTGAACCCGTGTCCTCGGCTGGCCCCGGCTTGTCTGTTCTTAAAGACACAGGCATCATCCTTTTTTTTTTTTTAGCCAAGCTCCTGGAACCTCGGAGCCGCTTTTGCTTTTAAGAGTGGGTTTAACAGGTTTAAAACTGAGCATACAGAAGATTCAGTAAGTAGGATTCAGACAAGAGGGTGGTAACAAAGTTAATACCGAATCTGAAGCTTTGAGGTTTTAGAAGCTATTAGCAGACTCATGGGGCATTTCAGTCAAGTTATTTGTGTTTTACTCATAAAGGTAGAATTGCTTTCATGGTGCCTAAGGGTCTTTGTCATAGGGTTGATGCCTGACCGGCAGGCTTTATGTTAAACTGCTGAAAAGACTGCCTGCCTGGGGTGAATAAGATGGAGGGGGCCTTTGAGAAAGGGTTCCCCAAACTAAATACTGAGGCGTTCAAGTGATATGTATTTCTCCAGGCGTGACCTCTAGGGACACACCCAGTCCTGTGGACCCAGACACCGTGGAGGTGCTAATGACCTTTGAACCTGATCCAGCTGATCTAGCGCTGTCAAGCATTCCAGGCCATGAGACTTTTGATCCTCGGAGACACCGCTTCTCAGAGGAGGAACTGAAGCCTCAGCCAATCATGAAAAAGGCAAGGAAAGTCCAAGTGCCCGAGGAACAGAAGGTGAGCTTGGCCAGGTGTGGGCGTGGCTTTGGTCAGGAACTGCCTTCGCTCACAGCTGTGGAAAGCTCCTTTGGGGTGAGGTCTTCAGGCTTATTGACAAACCCTAGTTCATGAGGCTCCTGGGGACTGGCTTTGTTCTGAGAGTCACAAAGATGGCGGACGTCCTTGTGGATTCCAGTCACTTGGACCTAGAACTCCTGGTTGTGCAGGACTCAAGTTCCAAGAGGCTCTGTTGCCAATTACGGCTTTCTTAGTGTCCCATCAGCCCGTTTTTCAGCAGCTGGCCTGGCTGGAGCTAGTCTGTGAGTTTCAACCTGAAGCTTCCATAGGACTGCCCTGCCTGGGGTGCAGACCTTGCCACGCTTACCAGCCTGTTCTCATGGGAGTCTCAGCAGCAAATGCATCCTTGTAGTACTCTGGCTTTGCTGTCAGGGGGTCTCTGCGAGTGAAGAAGAGGTGCTGAGGCTTCTCTCACTATCACAGCCATCCCAGCATCTAGGTCCATCTAAGAAACCCCATCCGTACCAGTGGCTTTCCGTGCTACAGAGCTCAGCTGTTGCTAGGGAATGAATGTGTCCTGGAAGCTGGCATCTTTAATTAAGAGGAAGCTGAGGGAGGTATCTTTCCCAGCTGGGTGGAGGACCCATGGTACTGGAAGGAGGAAGGGGGGGAGGGCAGACAGCTCCCTTACCTCACTTCAAGGGCAGGAGAGAGACTGGATAGGATCATTGGGTCTACTTACAGCTCATGTTTACTTGCTGAGATGAGGTTGCCTTGGCAACCAGGACACCAAACCCCATCACTAGTGGGGCTATCCAAGCTTTCCTTAGCAACCAGGATCTGGAAAGGTGATGTCTAGGGCAGTGTGCTCTTCAATGGGATAAGCCCTTAGACCCTGAAGGCCTTGTTGCTAGGTAACAAACATCCATAGCAACCAGCTTTCCGTAGGTCCTTAAGTGGGGAGGGCTGCTCTGCACAGTGGAGAATTTGAAGACCAGCTTCTTTTATACATGTACCTGGAGTCTGTCTAGTGGTTTAACTTTCCTATAGGGACCTGTTCTTAGCAACCAGGGCAGTAGACAGCAGAACTTTGGGTACCTAAGCCAACAGAGACCTGGGCCTCGCTGCTGTGCAGAAGCAGGCACATGGTCAGGGATGTTTGTGGGAGTGCTTCCAAACCTGCCCCTGTTGGAGCTCAGTGCCTTTGCACCCCTCCATCCCCAGGATGAGAAGTACTGGAGTCGGAGGTACAAGAACAATGAGGCAGCCAAGAGGTCTCGAGACGCACGAAGACTCAAGGAGAATCAGATATCGGTGCGGGCCGCCTTCCTGGAGAAGGAGAATGCCCTATTGCGACAGGAGGTGGTGGCCGTGCGGCAAGAGCTGTCCCACTACCGTGCCGTGCTTTCTCGGTACCAGGCCCAGCACGGGACGCTGTGAGGCCCCTCCACCCTGCCTGCCTGGTCAGAGTCCTGTCCCCCTCAGACTCGCACCCCACACCCCGCCACTGGCCAGCTAGGTGCCCCAGGGATGTGATGATACAAATACATTTATATTTTTAAGAAAAAGCTAGCCTTCTCCCCCTCCCTCGTGGGGGTGGGGAGGGTCCTGTGCGTGCTCTTAGCACTTCGGGGAACCTATCCACCCAACCGCCTCCATCAGCACGATCCTGAATAAATCTTGAGAACCCAGGAGCCAGCTGTTGTGGGAGACAAAGCAGCTACTGGTTCTGAGGCAGAGTCTGCAGCAGCAGCTGAGTGCAGCTATTGCGACCCTTCTTTAGGGAACCGAAAGGGCTTTAGATGGAAGGGGCGAAGAAAGCGACGCCTTTATTGCATAGACCTTTTCAATTGCTTTTTAGACCAGGGACAGGGACACACGAGACACATGAGACGTGAATTTCTCCACCCCGCCACTGGCAAGGGCGGACCATTAGTGCAAATCCTGGGGGCCGCCTGGGGGACCTGCCCCTCATGGGCTGATTGGCCAGTCAAGTGGAGGCACCGGAGGAGGCAAGAAGGAATCCTGGCTGGCCAATGAGCTGAGGCCTTGCTAGCTCATACATTCCAGGCCCCATCATTGGGCAGCAAGGAAGGCCGGCCCCACCCTCAGCCGCTAGGCCCTCTGGGAATGGAGGGTCAGCACCACTCTCCACCCTTGCTAGTCTGAGTTTCGTCCCGCTTGTCTTGAGAGCCAGGCCGTGCCCTGTGGTGCTCTGGTCCCGCCACCTCGGCCTGTGCCAGGCTTGTTTAGGCTCACGGCCTCTGACCTGCAGGCCCAGTGAGTAACTTGGCAAGACTGGGATGCACCTGCGCCTGCATTGGCCCGTACTCCACCAACTCCCCGTCCACGGTGAGCACGCCACGTGGCGTGAGTGGCTCGAGGCGGAAGGCACGGGCTGCGGCGTAGCCCAGGTGAGGGCAGCCCAGGCTGAAGTGGTTCCCGTGCTCCATGGCCAGCAAAATACGGAGCAGCGCGGCCCGTGAGACGCCGCTGCGCACCCAGCACAGGTGCACCACGCCGTCGTCGAAGCGCGCGTGCGGGGCGGCCACCAGGTCCGCACCGAGGTGGCTGGGCAGGATGGCCAGCATGAGTACGAACTCGCCTTCTATCGTCACCCAGTCTGGGGGCAGCGGAGAGCCCAGGGGAGGGAGCAGGTGGTCAGCTGGGCCCCAGGTAGAGACCTTTGGAGTAGTAGAGGTGGGAGGCGGGGCCCCCGAGGATACTGGCATTTCGGGGGGCCCTTCAGTGATGGGCGAAAGCTGCGCCGTTTTGGGAGAGTTGAGGGGTGAGGGCAGCAGCGGGTCTGGGGACAGAGGCGCATCCCCAGCGCCCCCCCAGTCTCCAGTCAGCTCCGGGCCGCCGCCATTGAGAGAAAGGTCAGGTAGGGGCTCAGGGGAGCCAGGGGAGGCCAAGGCAGGTTGGGGCAGGGGCAGATCAGACACGGAACGATGTAGGGGCGAGTGGGTGACGGCTGGGGCTGGGGCTGGGGCCAAAGCTAGTTCTGACTTGGCTCGAGGCAGGCTGTGGCCAGGGATGGGCAGCGCCGGCTCTGTGGTAGCAGGGAGGTAGGAGAGGCGTCCGCGGTAGGTATGCAAGGCGGCCAGGCCCAGCACGGCACCCAGTGTGAATCGAGCGCTGCCCAGGGCCCTGAAACGCTCGCTGTGAATGTCCACATCTGACAAGAATCCCCAGGCCACTGACAGGAAGGAAAAACAGCGGGATCCTGAGGCTAGCGTGACGGAGAGCAGGTCCAGAGGCTGGCTGCCACCGCGGCAGAGGAGCAGCGAGCAGTTGAGCAGCAGGTCAACACCAACAGCAGGCTCAAACCTTCACAGCCAGAGACGGGTGTCAGGAAAGAGCAGTGGAGGGGCCAGGGTGAGACACAGCAGGAAAAGGATGGCGTGAGCAGCAAAGCCACCAGAGAACATACCCCGAGTTCTCCATGAGCACCCTTAAAGGCCGTCTGCGGCCCAGGCACAGATCTAGCTATTGGGTAAAGGGAAGAGGGGGCAGGATGACGAAATATTACGAAACCCCGTGGTTCCAAAGACTCATCCCTCTCTCTAACAGGTATCCCTGCTGTCTCAGCAAAAGCAGCCAACGTACCCGCCATAGTGGTTAACTGCCCCAGCTAGTGCATTGCCGGAACCGCAGGGGAGGACCCCGATGGGCATCCGCACGGCATCTTCCCAGTCTGGCCGATCAAGGAGCCCGTTCAGCACCTGCAGTTGGGATAGGCTGCCTGGGTCCTCCCCACCCTCTCTAGTTCCCCCAGGGCAGGGTTAGGGTATCTGTGGCTCTACCTCGTAAAGCAGCCCATCTCCGGAGACAGTGACAATGCCTTCCCACTCGCTTAGGTTCAAGCCCTGCACCAGCTCGCGGGCGTGGTTCTGTCGTTCTAAGCAGACAAATAAAATAAAAAGGTTGGCCTCCCCACTCCAGAAGGTCCAGGAGTACCCCTCCCCACCGTACTCCAACAGCCCCTACCTGTCTGTATGAGGTTAAAGGACAGCCCAGCTTCGGAGATCATGGGCACCACGTGGTCCATGCAGCGCTGCCAGGCCAGGCCCCGCCCCCCAAAAGGATTAACCAATATGAGTAGCCTGGGCCTCCGGGGCAGAAGTCCAGGGGTGATTTCTAGAGGAAATGGAGAAAGGAGGAGAGAAAGGAAGGGCTGAATCTTCCAGAGGCCAGAGACCAGGCCTCCTCCTCTTGGTAAAGGGGCCCCAAGAAGACTTGATAAGTAAAGGCAGGTACCCAGGGCCTGCTGTGAGTTTCCCTTCTGGAAGTCTCCCTTCTGTCACCTGTCCAGTGTGGGCAGCCCAGTTCTTTCTCACAAGTGCTGAAACAAAGGGTTGGCTGTGAGAGCAAGTGTGTGCCCTCTGCACCTATGTGCCAGCTGTGTGTGCCAGCTGTGTGTGCCCTCTGCACCTGTGTGCCAGCTGTGTGTGCCCTCTGCACCTGTGTGCGCCAGCTGTGTGTGCCCTCTGCACCTGTGTGTGCCAGCTGTGTGTGCCCTCTGCACCTGTGTGTGCCAGCTGTGTGTGCCCTCTGCACCTGTGTGCCAGCTGTGTGTGCCCTCTGCACCTGTGTGTGCCAGCTGTGTGTGCCCTCTGCACCTGTGTGCCAGCTGTGTGTGCCCTCTGCACCTGTGTGCCAGCTGTGTGTGCCCTCTGCACCTGTGTGCCAGCTGTGTGTGCCCTCTGCACCTGTGTGTGCCAGCTGTGTGTGCCCTCTGCACCTGTGTGTGCCAGCTGTGTGTGCCCTCTGCACCTGTGTGTGCCAGCTGTGTGTGCCCTCTGCAGCTGTGTGTGCCCTCTGCACCTGTGTGTGCCAGCTGTGTGTGCCCTCTGCACCTGTGTGCCAGCTGTGTGTGCCCTCTGCAGCTGTGTGCCAGCTGTGTGTGCCCTCTGCAGCTGTGTGTGCCAGGTGGAGACAGAGTCCTGGTCCCTAACACCGGTTAAGTAGCATCAGGTTCCTGCACTGTCACTGTCCCGGAGCGGCTCTGAAGCCTGGGAAGAGGGGCCCCGGGTGAGGAAGGCTCCGCTGGAATGTCCTCTCCCTGTGTCCAGTGGAGCTACAGGCCACCTCTGGGCTGCTCGAAGATTCGGTGGGGTACCCCTCACATTCTCAGCCCGCCTCCTGCTGTCACACACATGGGAGCCTGTTACTCATCCAGGGAAGGACAGACTATAGCCAAGAGCAGAGGCGCCCACTCTTCTGAGAGACCCAGAAAGTCACGAGACAACACAAACATACGGAAGCACCTATGTGGCTGTGGTCCAGCATCTCACCCTGGTCTCCAGACAGAGGCACTCCTCGAAGGAGACACATGAGGGCAGTTGCCCAGCGCTGGGCCTCTACACGATTCTCCTCATAAGTGGCTGCACCATCAGCCCGGAAGGTACGAGGAGCTCTGCGCCGGCTTCCACGCCGGCCCCGTGGGTAGGTGTAGACACAGAAGTAAGCTGCTGTGTCTGTGGGGCTGCGGCTCTGCAGAGTGCCACAGCCCGAGACCTCTGACAGAGGGACTAGGCCATCTCGGGGCCGGGCTTCAGGCTTTGGGCGCAACCGCTGTATGTGCAGGGCTTGCGTTGTGAGGGTGAGGGCAAACCGTGGGCCATGGGCTGGATAGGAACCAAACTCGCCATGCAGGACAGGAGTACTGGAAGCCAATGGCAGCCGTGGCGGTGGGGCCATGGCCTGGCCTTCCTAGACCCTCGGCTTGTGGTCAGCGCCTGCTCCAGCCTCTGTGGGGAGGGAGGAAGACAATGGTCAGAACCCTGGATCCCCGTGGTAGGTGGGGAGGAGGGGGCCTGTGAAAACAGTGAGAGTGTGGGAAGGAAGTAACAGAAAAGCATGGAGAGACCCATGATGCGGGGCAGGAAGGCCACTATCCAAGTTTAAGGTCAGTAGGGACACCTCATTTCAGAAACAACCACACCAACAAGAAACAACAACAAAAACCCATGCTAATCATAAGGAAAAAAAGAAAGTTGGGCGGTGGTGGCTCACGCCCTTAGTCCTAGCACTCAGGAGGCAGAGGCAGGAGGATCTCTGAATTTGAGGCCAGCCTGGGCTACAGAGTGAGTGCCAGGACTATGCAGAGAAATCTTGTCTCAAGAACCTCCACCACCACCAAAAAAATAACTGGCCAAAGCTAAGACACATGGTATGCTGGGAGACGGCATGGGCTTGGGAGAGGGGAACAAGGCCCAAGAGGGAAACTGGATGATAGCGACAGGAAAAAAATAGGCTGAGACAGAAAGACACCGTCCCTCCCACCCACTGAGTCATCCATGGCTAGGCAGAGGGGAGAACTGTGTAGACACACAGGCACAGAAAGGGACGGCTCTAAAAAGCAGAGAAACAGAGAGGAGACAACAGCTTTTGAGGCACAGGCCAATAAGATACTTAAAAGTTTCTCACCCCAGTGAAGAAAGCAACAGACAGGAGAAAACGGACAGGGCATAGAGCAGACAGAGGTGGCCACATGGGAGTGGCCACCAGCCGGTTTGTCAGGAAGCACTAACCTGGCTGGCTGGCTGGCCGGCCGCGAGTGTGGGAGTCAGGGCTACTTCCCTTCTGCTCTGCAGAAGGTCCAGCCTCTTAACTGCTCACCTTTGGGCGGCCTTTCCCACTCGCCTGACTGCCCTGTCACCTTCGTCAGGCTCACAGCAGCCCGGGACACGCCCCCATGGATACTGCCCCTCGCGGGATCTACCTCTGCCCGCTGCCCTGGGCCACTCCCTTAAAGCCCAGTTATCTTCCCAGCCTCAGACCTGCTCAGACCAGACACTAGCACAGAGTGCTATACATGCTCCAGGCTGGGTGGGGTCTTGGTCTCCCGGGCCTTCAGATCGGGGCCTCCATCCACAGGTTCCCGGGCCTCCGCTCAGTCTGCCCCTTACTCCAGGGCCGCAACGCAGCCTCGAGTCTGGGCCTCTACCCCAGGCACGGACCTGGTTTTCCGCTTCCAGACCACCAAGTGTTCCGCGCCCGGATCTGAGTGTCCGCCCCTCTAGGGTCACCCCGAACCCTACAACCTGCGCGCACGCCGCGTCCTCCCGGCCGCCCCTCCAGAGTCTGCACTGCCGCCCCCATCAGATCTAGGGGTGGGGGAAGGGTGTGCGTTCGCCCAGCCAATGCCTGCGCAGCCAGTCTGGGCCGCACCAATGGGAGGACAGGGAGGCGGGGCCATCGGCTTCCGGAACTACGCGACGGGACCTGACCGGCCGAGCAAGGAAATAGGGAGGGGCTTCGGCCGAGCCGGGGGCCCCATCATAAGTGAGGGCACACACGCGGCAGAGGTAAGGGCGTGCTCCGAGGCAAAGCCTAGCTCGCCATCTTTGTTGAGGTCAAAACGGCCTATCCCAACAGAGTTTAAAAAAGGAAAAGGAGCGCGGGGGAGGAGCTCTTCCACTGCGGAGACTAGCTCTCTCTAACGTAAGCAAGAGTCTGACCTGAAAGGGAGTTAGAGACTGCGCGGAGCAGCGATGGAAACAGGGAAATGGGAACACTGAGGTCGACGTTAGTGTGGTGGCACCCAGTTATTCCAGCACTTGGGAGGCCGAGGTGGAAGCACCCGGAAGTGAAGGTCCACCTTTGCTGCAAGTATGTGACATCTTATGCCACACACCGTAACAAACAGACCCTAGGAAATGAAAAACATAGGTGGAGACAGTTCTGGAATGATAACCAGGATGGGCAAGCTCATTAACTTACAAACTGTTTACTCTAGCTCTGGAGCAGGCAGAATGCGATTACCATCTGCCCAGGAAACCGCCACGTGACAAGATAGAACCGCAGGGAGGCCGAGGGGGAAAGCTTTGGAAGCCCAGGAAGAAAGATGTTGACAAAGACAGGCTTGTCGCGGTGAAATGAAAACAGAAAAGCAACTGGGCAGCAGGATGGGCGAGCCCTGAGACATGACCCTGTGCGCGCGCGCGCGTTCCTGTCCGGTGCACCTCACACGTGCAGGGCGGGCACTCTCACGAGGCAGGGGCAAAGCTTCAGAGGAAAAAGGCTAAGTAGAGGAGGTAGTTAGTTTGCTTATTGCCAGCCCACAGCAGCGTCAGCCCCAGATGACACGCCAAGGAGTGTGGAGAAAAGTGGACGCTGGGAACGAACGCAACCGCTGCGCTCTGACAAGAATGAAGGCAGAAACCACGACCAAAGGAGCTGAGACCTCAGACAGAACGCTCACTCAAGCCAAGTGGCCTCACCCTGGATAGCCTCAGCTGATGTGTGCATGGTGGGGGTGGAGAAAAAGACGACTCCCTGCCCCCGGGGGAGGACTGAGGTCAATGGCAGAGGTTCTCAACCTTCCTAATGGCGCATTCCCTTTAATACAATCGCTCACGTCGTGGTGACCGCCCCCATAATATTTCTGCTGCTACTTCATAACTAATTGTGCTACTGTGAGGAATCTGATGAGCATGTGACACACATCCCCTGTGAAAGGGTCACGTGACGCACATGTTGAGAACTGTGGTTCTACTTGGATGCAGCCTTACCTGGTTCCACCGCCCCGGGACTCGGGATGTCCTGTGGGCAGCCAGGCTCCTGCTCTGTCACAGCAGGGCCGGCCGGGGCCCAGCACAGCAGGCTGTGAAGGGATGTCCGGGTAAAAAGTTCTTACTCACTGTGCAGTCCCAGGAAGAGGAGAGCATGGCAGGCTGGGGTCCCAGAGTCAACATCTCCCATCCAGCTAGCCTTTCCTGTCCTACCCAAGTTCAGGTAACAGATTCTACCTAGCACTAAAGTCCTACGTGTTCATCGAACTTGTTTACAGACCTATACAGCCAGGGCAGATACCCTGTTAGGGTTACTATCACTCCTTTTCCAAACAAGGGGAAAAAAACATAGAAAGTGACTTACCCAAGGTCACAATTTTTTGTTTGTTTGTTTGGTTGGTTTTGTTTTTCGAGACAGGGTTTCTCTGTATTGTTTTTTTGTTTGTTTGTTTTTCAAGACAGGGTTTCTCTGTGGTTTTGGAGGCTGTCCTGGAACTCGCTCTGTAGACCAGGCTGGCCTTGAACTCACAGAGATCCGCCTGCCTCTGCCTCCCGAGTGCTGGGATTAAAGGCGTGTGCCACCACCGCCCGGCTCCAAGGTCACAATTTTAAATAGCAGATCCAGGTGTCAAAAGACTGTAATCCCATCTACTTGGGAGGCTGGGGCAAGTTTGTGAAACCCTGACTTAGAGTCGCAGAGCTGGCACAGGAAATAGCCCACATTTTGGCTAGGTGGCAACCTCCCTACATGTCTCCTTCTGCCGGGGCTCCCTCCCTCCACGTCAGGCCTCCCCCGTCCCGTCTCCGTTTCATCCTCTCCGTGGCTAGCCACTCCTCAGGAGCTTGTTATCCATCCCCTTCCCACCCCAGAGTCGATCCAGACTGAGGGCTCCGCGTGCCCTCTCTGAACACCAACACTTTGCACATCGAAAATGAAGTCAGTTCACGCCGTCTGGCTCAGGAAAAGAGCCGTTCTCTGAGCAAGGCGACTTAGGAGACACTGGCTGAGCCCAAGATGCTGGGGAGGGGGTACTACAGGTTAAATCGCAGTAGGAAGTCTCAGGTTAGAAGTCTAGTAAGGCTTCCTGGGTTCAGTTGCGTCTAGCAAATTGAGCATAAGGCAAAGGCAGACGCGCGTTTAAGGAAATGCCGGACGTGCGAGTTAAGCTTTCTCTTCAGGCCGGGACAAGCCTCACCTCCAACACACAACCCACCGGGTCCTCCGGGCGCCACCGAGAAGCAGCCGGCGTGCGGCCAGAGAGTCACCGCGAGACTCCTCCTGCTAACTCCAAGCATGTCTCTCGCTCTCAGACCCCTGTATCCCCGAAGAATTAGAGAACGGGGGCTGGGGAAGGACAAAGAGTCTCTGTCCGTGGGCCACTTTCTCTTGATGTCGCAACGATTTCTCTTTGGTTGGTCTGTGGACCGCGGCACTCGGTCCTCCAACATACCATGGAGAAACCCAAGGTTGTGGTAGAGCGCCACGTCGCGCCCATGTGACGTCACCGAGACACCATAGAGACCCGCGGGTCAGGGTAGAGCGTCCGGTGAAACGTCACGGGTGCGTCCCGCGGCAGCCCTTTCCCCGCCCACTCCGGCGCAGTTCTGTCTTTCCGGACCTGGCCGAGCAGGAGGCGCCATCATGGTGAGCGAGCCTAGTGCCGTCCCGGGCTGTTCCATCCGCTGCCATCCTCAGCGGGGCCGGGTCGCGGGACGCTTAGAGGGGTGCGGGTGGCCGCGGTTGGTGCCAAGGGAGGCTGGGGACCAGACAGCGGCCTCCGGCCGGGACGTGCCGCGGCGGGCAGCCGGCGCCTCCGCAGACGGGCTTTCCCGAAGTTTGCCTCCGTGGCCCAGGCTGACTGCGGCTCCCCGTGGATGCGCACACGGGCCCCGAGCTCAGCCGCTGCCTCTGCAGCGCTCGCGTTCTTTAGCTTTAGTCTGGGAGTGGAGCCCTGCGGAGAGCGGCTCTGCGTTCCCGGGTCTGGGTCTCGGGTGGGCGTTAGGTCGCCCCGGTGCTTGCGGGGCGGAAGGGTGCGTAGTGACCCCGTCCCCTCCTCGTGGATATGGAAGACGTTCGTGAAGGTGCAGGCTAAACGGCGCTGTTAGCACTTGGCTAACTACTTTGGGTGCTAGCAGTTGGGAAAGCGAGGGCGATAAAATAACCCAAGCGTCTGGCCTGCCTGGGACGGACGGACCGAAGTGGGTGTTGTAAGAGTCACTTTGTCGTACATAAAGATATTTCCATGTCTGTAATCTGCTGTTGCCTCCTCCTGGCCGGTCTCCCGGGGTCTGAGAAGTAGTGTTCTTGGAAACATGGGAAACACCCGCGCACCACACACACCGGTACCGGGCGTAGAACGCAGGGTCCCTTCTTTGCTCTGAGGCAGACTGAGCTAGCCGAGTGTCTTGTACATCTTCGTTTTTGTTCCGAAACAAGATTACAGTATTTCCCTGAGTTTAGGGATTATGGGAGGGACGGTACCAGGCCCAGACCAAAACAAAAATCTTACTGGGTGTGTGGAGTTTGTCATGGGTGGGAAATGTCAGATAAGAGCATCCTCCCCCCTCCAATTTTAATCCTCCTGCTGTCCTTTGGGGGTGCTTTTTGTCTGAAACTTCTGGCAGTAGTAATTCCGGGCCCAGCTATTGTGGACCACTAGCCAGACAAAATTGGAGATTTTAAATTGAGTGAAGGTGGTGGGCTTGAGGGATAAGTAACAGTTGCGGAGGAAAGCCAGAGGACAGGCAGGCAGTGAGGGCCCACACTCACCCTTCTTCCCAGCACTTAGGAGGCAGAGGCGGGCAGATGTCTTGAGTTGAGGACAGCCAGGGCTGCAAAGAGAAACACCGTCTTAGGGGGGATTTAGGGCAACTGTTCAGGGTAGAAATTGGCTCCAAAGCCAGGCAGTGGTGGCGAATACCTTTAGTCCCAGCACTCAGGAGCCAGAGACAGAACAAGAGCGCGTTCCAGGACAGCCTACAAAGCTACACAGAAACCCTGTCTCAGGAAAAAAGCCACAGACACACAAAGAAATGGGCTCCATGGTAGTTCCTTCACTTCCCACAGGGTGTTGACATTCGACACAACAAGGACCGAAAGGTTCGGCGCAAGGAGCCCAAGAGCCAGGACATCTACCTGCGGCTGCTAGTCAAGGTACGCCTCCAGCCACAGTGAGTGGGGTCGGGGTCAGCAGGATGGGAGGGCCGTGGACTTTGGGGGAGCGGTCACGTGATCATGCTTTTCCTCCCCCCAGCTGTACAGGTTTCTGGCCAGAAGAACCAACTCCACCTTCAATCAGGTTGTGCTGAAAAGGTTGTTTATGAGTCGCACTAACCGGCCGCCTCTGTCCCTGTCCCGGATGGTTAGTACCTGGGGGAGTGGGCGCTTGGCCCTAGACACCAAAGGACGCCGCGGCCTCTGGGTTGCTGAGGGTGCAGAGCTCTGCTCTGGCTCCTCCACTGCCGCCCTGGCCAGGTTACAGGCACTTGGCTTTTCAACCTGGGGGTTTCTCTGGCTTGGTTGACTTCTGGGGTTAGAGAGGGGGGACTTCCAAGGTTCCTTGTGCAGATTGCAGGTAAAGATAACCCACAGTCCTCTGGTGGAGCCGTCAAGACTGTTACTGTTGGACGAGATGGCTTCCGCGGGCACTGGCAGTCTTGGCTGTTTGGGGGCGATGGGTGTGAATGCAAAATGGCTTAACCTGTTCTCAGATCCGAAAGATGAAGCTTCCTGGCCGAGAGAACAAGACTGCCGTGGTTGTGGGGACTGTCACAGATGACGTGAGGATTCTCGAAGTGCCCAAGCTGAAGGTAAGTGGCCAGCGTGAACCCAAACTCTGAAGCTTTGCTGGGTGGCAGTGGCACCCTATCTGAGGGCGTGTGACAGTCCTCACCACTCCTGGTGTCTGCCCCTTAGGTGTGTGCACTGCGGGTGAGCAGCCGTGCCCGAACTCGCATCCTGAAGGCTGGGGGCAAGATCCTCACCTTTGACCAGCTAGCCCTGGAGTCTCCCAAGGGCCGTGGCACTGTGCTCCTGTCTGGTGAGTGGGTCTGCATTGAAGCACCTAGGTTTGGGGAACGTTCCCTATGGTCAAAAGTTCCCGGTCTCTACTTAAACCTATTCTTCCCTGGCTAGGTCCTCGGAAGGGCCGAGAGGTATACCGACATTTTGGCAAGGCCCCAGGAACGCCACACAGCCATACCAAGTGAGTATCAGGCTAAGAGTCCCCTGGTAGTTGTTAGCAAGAATGGTCACAACTATGGGCTTCCTGGAGTCTGCCAACCTCTGACTGGCATGGTCCCCGTGAAAGGTCTTGTTTCATAACCCACAAGAGATGGCTACATTACAGGAACAGGCCCCGTTGGCACTGAACTGGGCTTCTCTCACACACATCTTTTCCCAACAGACCCTATGTCCGCTCCAAGGGCCGGAAGTTCGAACGTGCCAGAGGCAGAAGGGCCAGCCGCGGCTACAAAAACTAACCCTGGATCTTACTGTTATTAAAAAAAAAACTTTGGATGTTGATGGTCCTGTGTGTTCATGAAGTTGGGATGGGCAGGATGGGTTGAGAGCCACCCATGGTGGCTGGACGTCTGACTTGCAGCCCTTACAGACCCATCTCTGGGGGAGGGGCTGGTGTTCCTCCTTGTGCCTGTGATTAGAGCCCCACCTGTGCCGGGCATCCGGCGTCTGCTTCCTCCTAGGATTAGTCTTTCCCAAGATCTAGATGCTGGGTGTGGGGAAGGCGTGGGAACTGCACTGTTCTGGAAGCTGGTTGACAATAGCCAGTCCCTGAGCTGGGTGCCCGGTAGGCCCTCCCCCTGCGTTTGCACAAGGGGCTGTGCCCCAGCTCCAACGCTCAGTTGGGTGGCGAGCCCCGGAAGAGCTGCTGGAGCAAAAGGACAGCTTCTAAGCTGGTCCTCAGCCTCAGACCCTGTGGGGTTTGGGGGTCCACAGATGGGGAGACCTAGCCGTATTCCAGTTCTCCTGTGGGCTGCGGGGTGCCGCTTGGCTGGGACCAGCTCCAGGCTAGACAGGTACATGGGCTAGGAGAGGGTGGTTCCTGTCCAGGAAGTAGGGTGTAGCCAGGAGACCTTGGGACTGGTAGATACCAAGCTAGGCTTTGGATCAGAGAACAGAAGGCAGCATGTCCACCTAAGGCTCAGGCTGGTCTTGGGGTCACAGCGTTCCTCCCTACCTTGAACCTGAGAAAGTCCTCAAGGAGGCTGGCAAGTGCCTGGGGGGAGGGTCATGGGTCCCCAGGGCAGGCCCGTGGGAGCTGGTGGGCAGGAAAGACGACAAGCCAGAATGACAGGCCGTTGGTTCTAGGCTGTAGGACACCAGGGCCAGGCAAACGGCCGTTTACCTGGAAATGGTTGGCCAAGGAGCCAGACTTAGGGCAGGCAGGTCATCCTGACAGGCCTGAAACTGCCAAGGGTCACCCCAAGGTGGTCCTGTGGTGTGCCAGAGTGGGAGAGGTGGCTTACTGACAGGTGGCCATTAGGCACATGGTGACCAGATAGATGGTGTAAGGAGTATGGACAGTCTATAGGGGTTGTGAGCTAGGGACAGCTTCAGGGAACTGTAGATGTTCACAAGACCCCAGATGGTCAGACCCCAAAAGCCATACAGACCTTCCAGGAACTGGCCTCTGGCACTGTGTGGCTCCAATGGCGGCCTCCCAGCTGGCTGCCCTGGAGGGAGAGGGGTTGCAGGCTGGTGAGCCAGCCCTGAAGAAGGCCAGCCCTGGCCTGTATTCTGAGGGCCAGCGCCTAGCCCTGGAAGCACTGCTGAGCAGCGGGGAAGAGGCCTTCCGGGCCTGCGTGCAGCAGGAGAGGCTGCCTCCGTTCCTGAGTGCAGAGGAGGCTCGGGCCCTGGCTGCAAATGCGGAAGACTGGACAGTACCAAGCCAGGAGCCATGTGGAGCAGACACAGGGACTATTGGCGATGGGACTATCGGCAGCCTGACCTACTGGCCGGGGCAGTCTGAGGAGCCGGCACCCCTGCTGCGGCTGGGCTGGCCTGAGGATACCGCCTGGAAGGGTATCACCCGAGCTCAGCTCTACACCCAGCCACCAGGCGAGGGCCAGCCACCTATTAAAGAGTTGGTGCGCCAGGAGATCCAGGCTGCTGGCAAGGTAGGCGTCACCCCGTCACCAGTACCTAGGCTCTCCCCACACCCTCCTGCATTCGCAAGGCTATACCCGTGGACCTTGAGCCCGTGTTTCATCCTTTCCCTTCAGGCCTGGAGGCCTCTTTCTGGGACCTGGTGTCCCTGCTCCTGTATCAACCCCTTTCAAGCCAAACTAGAGACTCCCAGATTCCTCCAGGAAATCCCTGGGGGTGGTTCCCCACCCTGTGGCTCCTGAAGCCCCATACCTTAGGGGCAGTCTTGGGGTTTCCCTAGTCCAGTACCAAGTGGTCTACATGTATGTACAGCCTTCCAAGAGTAGAGGGCAATTTGGTTTAAGCTCTCTGAACTGAGTGACCTTCCTGATGAGTCAGATTCCACCATAACCTCGTCGGCCTGCAAGGCTGAGCTCTCAGCACGCCTTAGGAGACCGCCAGCACCCAGTCCTGACGGGGCTGTGACCTTTGGCACTGTAAGGGACAGTCTGTGGACAACCAGGGATTGAAAGCTGTTCTGTTGGAAACTGGGTTATTTTAAAAGGGCAGCCTGGCTCGCACTCCATGCAGGGGAGAGTCGGAGTGGATGTCTCCCTGCCGCCCAGAGCATCCCAGGAAAGTCAGGCCTTTGAAGTGCATGTCTCCAGAGCACCCTAATCCCCATCCCATGTCTACCTCTCCCCACCCTAGCTGGTGGCCGTAGTCATGGATGTCTTCACCGACCCTGACCTGCTCACAGACGTGGTGGATGCTGCCACACGCCGCTGGGTACCTGTCTATTTACTGCTAGACCTGGAGAATCTGCCCGCATTCTTGGCACTAGCCCAGCAGCTAGGGGTGAACCCCTGGACCACTGAGGTAGGGCCAGGCCGCAGGCAACTAAATACCCCATTCCTCAGAGGGGGATCTCCATGGGTTCCTAGGTCACTGGTATTCCCTAAGATCTGAAACCCAAGTCACTGGGGAGGGGGTGGATGTCCTAAAAGGATCCTTGAGCCAGGCTGGGTACCCCCAAATCAGTGGCCCTGAGGATGCTGGGACAGTATCCATGGGATCATGGAACCTGCTGTTTCCAGAACCTGGACATCCGGACTGTGCAGGGACACACCTTCCAGAGCAGCAGGCGGCGGCAGGTGAGCGGCCGTGTGCGGGAGAAGTTCCTGCTGCTGGATGGTGACAGGGTCATCTCAGGATCCTACAGGTGTGTCCCCTTGTGACATCATGACACCCTTGCCCAGCCCTCCCTCAGCACCCTCGGTCAATGGGGAGGGGTTGTGGGAGGAGCACCCTTTTCTGGGCCTCTGTGCCCCGTGCTCATCTCTAAAATGGGCCCGCTGCTCTTCCTGGAGAGGGGCTCTGCCCTGCCACAGACCACACTCAGAGCTGTCTCTGCTTCCCGAGAGTGACCTGATTATCTCTCTAGCCTTGTGAACCCCAACTTGGGAAACTCAGGCATGAGCTCTGGATTCAGATGACCTGGATTCAGATCCTAACCCTGGTAGCTACTAGCTGTGTGACTTCAGGCAATTTTACTCCCTTCTCTGTGCCTCAGTTTCCTCCCTTCAGAGTGCAATGGCAGAGATCAGGGTCCCCTCCCATGTGCATTTTGAGCCTCAGCCCGGCCTCCACCCAGCAGAAGTCGGTGGTGTCCCTTACCCATTGTCAGCATGACAGTCACAGAATGCTCCAGACATAGCCAGGCGCCCCAGGGCGGGAGGTGCTGTCCACGAACCACTGTTCTCGGAGGGTAAGGAGGGCCTCGTGACTTGCTGATATACAGCCGCCTACGTCCACCTGGCCACTGGTGGGGACATGCATTTCTGGAAGGTTCCCACTTAGTGCTGACACTGCTGGTGCTGTTCACCTTTTGAGACCCTCCAGCCCTGAGACCATGATGCTTTGGAGAGTCGCTAGCATCAGAGGACAGAGCAGCGCCCAACACATGGCGTGAGTGTGTCAGAGCTGGATGTGATGGCAACATTGAAAGATGGAAGGTCACCGAGGTCAAGGCCAGCCTCAGCCATGTGGAGAATTTGAGGCCATCCTGGGATACAGGACACCTGCCTCAAAAAGCGTCCCTGCCCCACAAAAAAAAGTGCTCTGAAACCCCATCTGGTATTATTGTTTTTTACCATATTTCACGAACTCTAAGGTGACGCCAACACAAAGAAGCACCTGAGAAAAATGAAAAGATGCGCGTCTTGGGACCAGTGGGGCACAGCAAAGCAGGGAGAGTCACAGGCCGCACCCCACACGGTGGCACACCAGGGGCTCTGCCAGCCTGGCTCCCATGGGCCCTGGAACGGAGGAAGCCAGGGCCACAGGAGGTAGACTGCACCTCTGGCCATTTAATGGGGGGAAGGGGTGGAGACGGGGGCACAGGGTACAGCCCAGGCCCTGCAGTTCCTGTGGGTCACGGCCAGTATTGAAGCAGCAGCAACAGGCCCAGGAGCAGCTGCAGGCCCAGCACCAGGCTGGCAGCCCCTGTGGCAGAGCCGGCACCCTCATTGCAAAGGTGGCCAGAGCAGCAGGTGGTGGTGAGGCTGTAAGTGAGGCCCATGTAGCTGACGGGCTCCTCACGGCCACAGCTGGTGGCGTGCACACAGCCTTTGTTGATGATGGGCCCCACGCCCTGGGCTACTCCGTGGCCCGTGAAGCAATCCTCATCGTCCCCACAGCGCATGTGTGTGCCTGGGCACTGAGCGGAGTCGGTCAGCTCACAGAAGACGCAGTCCTTGATGCCTGTCGTACCCGGGCACAGCACCAACACCAGAAGCAGTGGCCAGCCAAGGACCATGGTGGCCTGGCGGCGTGGATAGCTCCCAAGCCAGGCCGGGTACGCCTGTGACCTCCTGGATGGCACCTCCTGCCCCTCGTCCTGGCCTCTGGGGGTCAGCACTTGGAGTGTTCCTGGTTCCCAATACAAAGTGTCCCTCTCAGGAGCTCGTGAGTCCTTGGGTTGGAGATGGGCCAGCACCCCTGCCCATAAGCCTTTGGGCCATGGAACTCAGTGACTTCACAGACCCTCAGGGTTCCCTGACTGCTGTGAGTGGGGGAGGGGTCACAGCCTGTCCCACCACAGGCTGAAGGGACCAGAACTGTCATCTGCCCAGGTAAGGACACATAATGCTAACTCACTCACACTGTTATGAGCTCTGCCTACGTGTGCCAATCTGGCTTTACTGGTGACCCACTGACGCCATAGCGGGTACCTGACCCCCATCAGGGTCCCGGAACTGAGTGGGAGAAACCTGCTGCGTCGTGTGGTCCACTTTGTGCTGGAGGTGTTAAAGCCACAGCCATGCGAAGGACGGGGCTGGTACAGGTCCACCCTCTGCCCCCAGGCCCCACGCGGGGCTCTTGCTGTGTGGCAGACGTGCTACTCGGATCCTGGTGAACCGCGCACCCCCTGAGGAAACCTGTGACGTTACAAGGCTCTGTGGACATGAGAACACCACCCCCATCTCACAAGAAACTGAAATGATCGCCAGGCGGGGGTGGCACACGCCACACCTTTAATGCCAGCCAGCACGGGGGAGGCAGAGGCAGGCGGATCTCTGTGAGTTTGAGACCAGCCTGGTCTACAAGAGCGAGTTCCAGGACAGCCTCCAAAGCCACAGAGAAACCCTGTCTCGGAAAAAAAGAAAAAGAAACTGAGGCATTGAGATGTTCCTCAGTGGGGACACGGCCCCTCTGACGTCACATGATCAGTCTAAGGATTCCCTGATTTGTTCGGCTTTTGGTGTTGAGAGTCTTGCATAGCTCAGGCTTTTCTGGGATTGTGTAGTGGCCTCCTGGTCTTTCTGCCCCAGCCCCTGAGTGCTGGGATTACAGCTGCTGTTACCACGCCCAGTCTGATGACATAAGTATCTTACCTCATGGTGTCCCCAGGTTGGTGTCCTAAGCACCAGAGGAGCAGAGGCCCGGGAGAGCATGACCTAAGGTCACAGGGGCTGGGGGCTAGGGTGGGTGCCACGCAGCACAGACCCTGACTGCGACTTTACCTCCCTAGCTTCACGTGGAGTGACTCGCGCCTGCACCGGGGCCTGGTGACCCTGCTCACGGGTGAGATTGCAGATGCCTTTAGCCAGGAGTTCCGGGTGCTGTATGCCGCCTCCCGGCCGCTGCCGCCAGCTCCAGCTCGAAGCCCCTTGTCCGGCCCTTCTGAGGGCCCACAGCTGCCCCGAAGCCCGCACCGCGTGGCCCTGCGCTGCCCTGTGGCCCCCGTGGCCCCACTGCTGGCTGACCGGCCTTTGGCCCACCGCTTGGCTGCCTGTCACATCCTTGAGGGGGACAGACGGGAGACCCCCACCACCACAGGGCCAGCTCTCAGTGACATCTTGAGGAGTGTACAGAGAGCAAGGACAGCCAGCGGGCCCCCAACCAGGCCCAGCCGTTCCCTGTGGGACCTCAGCCGCCTGTCGCAGCTCTCTGGCTCCAGTGATGGTGACAATGAGGTGAGACCCCTCCCCCCCAAGACCTGACACGGGGAAACAGAGCCGGGGAGGCCCTGTGTGAATACCGAATCCCAAACAAGAAGCAAGTTCTCTTCTTAAGAGTCTCCTAGCCCAGGCTAGCTCTGAGCTGATCCTCTTGCCTCTAGTTTCCATGTATGGGCATAGCAGGTGTGGTGGCGCACACCTGTCATTTGACCTGCCTATTTCACAGATGGGGACACTGAGGCACCTCAGAGGGGTTGGGACTCAGTTCTGCCTCCCAGGGGGACATGTTGACTTGCTAGATCTGAGTGTCCCTGGAGTTCTGGGGAAAAGGAGGGGTCAGGAGCCCTGAAAATCCCCCTGCATGTGTGTGGAGAGTGAGGGTCCACTCCAGCTGCTTGGATAGCCCAGGGTTTTGCCTCTGAGCCTCAGTTTCCCTCACCGTGAGACCAGCTGTTGTATGAGAGGTAGCAGAGCCATGTGGGGAGACAAGTCGTCTCCCCCAGAATGCAGGCAGTGGGATTATGCCCCTCGGGAGCTAGCCCGTGCTGGCCGCAGTCTCCTGATCCCCGTGGTAACTAGCGGGGTCGCTTGTGTCAGTGCTGTCGGCGAGCTGAGGGAAAGGCAGTGAGGCAGCTCAAGGTCCTCGCCTCACCGAGGTCCCCGCCCTTGGCAAATATTTGTTCCCCTAGATGGCCACAGCTGCTCCAGGTCCCCAGATGCAAGGAGAGGGGAGAGGTATCCTGAGTGTCTCCACTTATCTCCCATGGGCCCCAAGACCATCGCTCCCCTCTCTTCCTCCTGTGTGTGTGTGTATGTGTGTGTGCGTTCCTGTGTGTGTGTGTGCTCTGTGTTTGTGTGTGCTCCTGTGTGTGTGTGTGTATGTGTGTGTGTGTGCTCCTGTGTGTGTGTGTGTATGTGTGTGTGTGTGTTCCTGTGTGTGTGCTCCTGTGTGTGTGTGTGTGCTCCTGTGTGTGTGTGCTCCTGTGTGTGTGTGCTCCTGTGTGTGTGTGTTCCTGTGTGTGTGTGTGTGTGCTCCTGTGTGTGCCTGTTGAGCGGGTGTCAATGCTGGTGGTCTCTTCCCTCTGCACATTATTTTTTTTTGTTTTTTCGAGACAGGGTTTCTCTGTGTAACCCTGGCTGTCCTGGAACTTACTCTGTAGACCAGCCTGGCCTCGAACTCACAGAGATCCGCCTGCCTCTGCCTCCCAAGTGCTGGGATTAAAGGCGTGCGCCACCAACGCCCGGCTATGCACATTATTTTATGACAGTGTCTCTCACTGCGCAGAGGGATGCGTGGGCCCAGGGGCTTCGGGTCACTCATCTCTGGTGCTAAGGTTGCACACGCTTACCAGAGTCCCAGCTTCTCGGGAGAGCTGGGCCCCGAACCACAGCAAGCACTGTATGTCCTGAGCCACTGCTCAGCCTCTTGCTCCTTATTTTGAGATGGTTTCATGGGATCCAGGCTGGCCTTGAGCCCATCACGCCTCCTTTGTATGTGCGGGAACCAAACCCCAGCCTTGTGCGTGCCACCAGCTGAGCCCCAGCTCACCTTGTTTTTTCATTTTCCTTCGCAGCTCAGGAAGCCCTGGGGCTCCAAGGACACGCCAGCCAGAGCCCTGATGAGGCAGCGGGGCACGGGAGGGGGGCCCAGGGGTGACATGGAGTCCCACCCACTAGCCGGGTCACAGCCCTGGGGGGGGGCCCTCCCCGCGACTCCAGTACGCCGCCTGCACTACCTCTCCCCAGCCCAAAGGAGGCTGGGAGATAATGCCACATCGGACTGGGCCTCTGGCTCCAGCCCTGGAAGGCGACGCTGATGGGCGTGCTGGCCAGGTGTGACTGCAGCGGAGCGTCAGCTCAGAGCCCCTACCCAACACTGGCTGTGGCTGAGGACGCGGGCCCGGGACCTGGGCAGGGGAAGAGATTGGTCTTAATTGCTCTAGAATTGAGCGAAGGACTCAGTGTCACCATCTGGGAAATGGGCAGAAGGTTCCAGAGCAGCAGTTATTCACCAGACAGGACTGCTTCAGAGACGGGCCCGGCTGCCCATCCATGTGCACAGAGACCGTGGGGCGACCCCAGAGGAGAAGCACACCCACCTGTGTGTGGGCAGGGGGTAGGGTGAGTCCGGGAGAGGAGCGCTAGCTGCGATGGAGGGGAAGGGGGTAAACAAGGGACACCGAGACACTGGGGCAGGCCTGGGATGTTTGTGGGAACACCAGAGGCCTCCCTCTGTCTCTGCTCAGATTAAACTCTGACAACACAGACACGTGTCTCCACGGCTCTCCCAAGCCCAAGCCTCCCCTCGCCCAGCCTCCTGACTCCAGACCACAGCGCCCTCCTCAGCCCTTCAGACGCAGGGCTTCCTCCCTCCTCCCCTCCCTCAGGGCCGGGTCAGCTCCGCCTGGCGTCCCTGCTGAGACCAAGCTCAGTGTGTGAGCGCCTCCCCACCCCGCTGTGCTGTTTTCCTATGGCCACCGAGTGACCCAGACTGAGCGTGGATTTGCAACCCCGTCGCCTCTGCCCCCCGAGCACGGGGCGAGAGGTGAGTGTCACCTCTGCATTCTGGTGTGCGACTGGCCCACCGGCACCTCCCCCTGCCCGACGCCGCCGCCGCAGCATGGAGGAGAGGGGACGTGGAGTGACAAGTTTACTCTGAGGGTGCCGGGACGGGGTCATCAGAGGCGCCAGGGCTGGGGCTGGGCTCGGGGTCAGGTTGGCCATCGGGGCTGGTGTCCTCTGGGGACATGTCCCAGGGGAAGCGTGGTTGTCCCCACATCTGCTCACGGTAGACACGGTCGAAGGCCTCGCTCTGTGCCACGGTGAAGTGGTTCTTCCAGTCACCACTGATGCCTGGAGGGGACAGGGGACGGACCGCTGAGGAGCTGCAGGGGTGTCCCCTCTGCCTCCACTCACCATGACCAACTATACCATCTGTGTCACCTAACCAGATCCCCCTGCTTACTGCCTCCTTCCCTCACATCCAGGGGACCCTGGTCAGCCCCGCCCCTTTGACCTCTGGCCCCTGATCTCTTCGGGGAACTCACTTCCCTCTGGCACCCAAACACCCCTTTTACAACCTGTATCACCTCCACTAGGGGCTGCTGAGCCAGCACAGGGCGCGCTCGCCCTAGCACCCCTCAGACACCCACCACGGCCTCTAGCCGTGGCTTGATGGCCAGAGCACCCCCACCGGGCACTCTGAACACGCATGTGCCGGTTTGCGGTCCCCACGGCCTTTGAGCTGTCTCAGCAAGGCGTCCCCACCAGCTGCAATCCTGAGGGCTGGTCCGTCATATCACACTGAGCGCTGGCGTCTACCTCTTGCCCGTGTGGAGAGGGCCCTTTCGAAGAGCTTGTTGAATTTTAGTTACATGTCATGTCACCTCTGGTGAGGCCAGGAGGTTCCCCAAAGGGCACTGATATGCCTTAGATATCCCCATTCCCAATTCTTGGAATTTAGAACATGAAACCACATGGCAACTGGACCAGGACGAGCCTGGACCACCTGGGAATCCTGTATTGCCATAGTGCCCTGCTTTGTTTGGAGACGGAGTCTAGGGTAGTCCAGGCTGGCCTCAACTCCGTGTAGCTGGTTTGGTAAGTGAGCACCACCACGCCCGACTAAATACTCAATTACTCTGCATTAATACAAAGGTTCCTGTTGGAGCCGAGATCTGGATGCACTGGGGGGGGGGGGGGTTTGTTCCAGGGGGACGCCCAGATGGAGGCAGGTTAGCAAGCAGGCACACTCTTGCGGAGAGTGAAGACTAGTCTAGGTGACCCTGTACGCTCTGTTCCGTATGGCATCTGGGGAAACGGAGGCCCATCAAAGTTATGAACTGCCTAGAAGCACACAGTGGTACCTTTGCGCAGGAACGCCCCCTGGCGGTGGTCCAGCAGGCTGGCAGGCAGCAGTGTGTAGTTGGACATGGTATTGGCCTTCATGGCCCCGAAAGCCGAGTGGGCCACCACGGAGCTCAGGGCCTCTTCACCCAGGGGCCGGCCCAGGAACTCGCAGAGGCGTTGCACGGAGCCTCGCAGGTCCTGGGGTGGGAAGAGGAATAATCGGTGGAGTGGGGACCACTTTGGTGGCCTGAGGGGCTCTTTGTCTCAGTTTCCCCATCTCCAAGTCAAAGCTTTGGGCCTCCCTGTCCTCCAGGATTCTTGAGGATTCTGCAGGGGGGGGAGAGTGTAGGTGGGCAGACGTCAGCCCAGCAGCTTACAGAGAACCCTGTTGTATGTCAGAAGCGGACAGTGTGGGAGGGGCTGCCCAGCCCTCCCCGCATGCCCCGCCCTGGTCTCCAGGGCTTACCCTGCCCTATCTGCCTCAGCCCAGATAACTGTCATGGCCCCCCTTTTTTTTTTTTGCCATGTTCTCATCTCTGTGTCCCCATCCTAGCCCACGCCACGCCCTCTCCCTTGCGGACCCTCGCCAGCCTGCCTGGTTCCCCGATTCAGTGGCTCCCCAGTATGCGGGGCAGAGTCTTCCCGGGACAGAGTGGCTTGGTGTGAGCCCCTCCTTCTCACACTTTCCTCCCTCCTCGTCTTAGCACAGGGTTTCGTGGTGTGCTCTTTGCCACTGATAAACTCAATTGCCACCTTCCTCGTGACACTTGGCTCAAGTGCCGGGACTACCAGGCTGTGACTCAAGTCCTCATTCACATTTGTGCTGCTCCGGCCGCCCGCTTTGAGCCTAGTTGGCAAAGCAAGATACTCGTCCAAAGTCACATAGCCCCGAGGCTCAGACCCGGGCCCAAGCCCCACGGTCCTCTGTACCCCACAGCCATCTTTGGCGTGCAGCGTCTGCACAGCCGGTCAGCGCATAGCCCGCAGCCTGCTTTTCCAGGTCATTCCTGTTTCATAACCCTTTCTTCTCTAGCCACAGGCCTGTCCCAGAAACACACATGTGGGCGGCGCCATGCACCCCAGGAGTGGCCCAGAAGCTGTGCTTGGCTCCATGGCCCAGTTTTTGGTTTGGAGAATAAAACCTGATTGGATGTAGGTTGGGAGACATGGTGCTGAAACCTTTTCCAGAACTTTCCATCAGAAGAAATTATCAGGATGGAAAAAATATGGGGGCTGCAGGGAATTGCTGCGTGTCTTTGGAAAATACCTAACTCACTCCAGAGTGCTAAGACACATTTCTTCCTCGGAACAGTGGTGAGGGCTTACCAGGGTGAACCTAAAAAAAAAAACACTACGATTTTCACAGCTCAAAATGGATGGGCTATTGCTATTTTATGTGAATATGTATGTATAATATATACTTACATTTTTCTTATTTTGTTTTTTTGAGACAGGGTTTCTCTGTGGTTTTGGAGGCTGTCCTGGAACTAGCTCTTGTAGATCAGGCTGGTCTCACAGAGATCCGCCTGCCTCTGCCTCCCAAGTGCTAGGATTAAAGGCGTGGGCCACCACCGCCCGGCTTAAACTTAATTTTTTTTCATCACATTCATTGTGTGTGTGTGTGTGTGTGTGTGTGTGTGTGTGTGTGTGTGTGTGTGTGTGTGTGTGTGTCTATGTGCACATGTGGAGGTCAGAAGACAAACGGCAGGGGTCAGTTGTCTCCTTCCTCATCTGGAGAGTGATTGTCAGGCCTGGTAGCAAGTGGCTTTACCCTCTGGGTTGACTTGCCAACTCTTTTGTTTATTTGTTGTTTGTTGTTTTTCTTTTCTTTTTTGGGAGGGCAGGATTTGAGATAAGGTTTCTCTGTGTATCTTGGGCTGTTGTAGACCAGGCTGGCCTTGAACTCAGAGATCCGCCTGCCTCTGCCTCCCGAATGCTGGGATTAAAGGCGTGCGCCACCATGCCTGGCTTGTTTTTCAAGACAGTGTTTCGTGTTTCCTGAGAAGAGGCTGGGGCATGCTTGGGGTAGGCACAGCACACCAGAGCCAGGCACACTCCTCACAGCTGCCCACAGAGTCGCCTTCTCGATGGTTTGGAGATACCCTGTGGCTGAGAATCTACAGCTGTAACTACAAAGTGTCTCCAGAAGTGAGAGCTGGTAACACAAGCCTGTCATTCCCATCACTCTGGAGACTGAGAGGAGTGACAGTTCAAGGCCAGCCTGGGAAACTTACCAAGACTCTCTTAAAATAAAAAACACTGCAAAGGCTAAGGCTGTAGAATTCCCGCCTAGGATCTCCCAGCGAGGACCTGGAGTTACGGCTCATTTGTAGAGCACTTGCCTAATGTCCACAAGGCCTGGGTTCAATCCCCAAAGCTGAAAAAGGTGACAACTACAGAATGTGCCTGTAATATTAGTACTTGGTGGAGCTGAGTCAGGAAGTTCTTGAGATGAAGGTCTACAGAATGAGTTCCAGGACAGCCAGGGCTAAACGGAGGAACCCTGTCTCAACACACAAGTAAATAAAAAGCCCTGGAGTGCTGGGTTTGCCCCTGCCCGGCACCGCATGAACCAGGCATGGTGGTGCACCCCTGCAATCTCAGGAGTTGGAAACAAGAGAATTAGAAGTTCAAGGTCGCCGGGCGTTGGTGGTGCATGCCTTTAATCCCAGCACTGGGAGGCAGAGGCAGGCGGATCTCCGTGAGTTCGAGGCCAGCCTGGTCTACAAGAGCGAGTTCCAGGACAGCCTCCAAAGCCACAGAGAAACCCTGTTTTGAAAAATCAAGAAAAAAATAAAAAAGATCAAGGTCATCCTCAGATACTTGGTCTACATGGGACTTAGAGAGATGGAGGAGAGAGGAGTGGGGGCCTCCCCAGGGCCTTTGCAATGGCTGCTCCGGCTGCAGACTCTCCTGGCTGCTTGTTTGTCTGTCGCTGTCTATGTGTCCATCCTATCTGATGGTGACTTGACTTGCCCTATCCGCTTAGAGTCACCCACTTCTCACCCCCAGACCGCCATAGGTCTGGTTTCCCCAGGACAGGGACGGCAGGCATCCAGGGCCAGACCAACCTGCTGCAGCTCCTCATAGGTGATAAACAGGAAGTTCTCATGGCTCTGCATCCGGATCCAGCCCTTGATGTGGTCAAACCAGGAGCCAAACTGCACTGCAGGCATGGAGGGTGTGTGAGGCCACATGGACCAGGCCACCGTGTCCTTTGTGCCAGGGTCAGAGACCCTCCCGACCCCGCCTGTGCAGCCCTACCCCCTGCCACCATCCGTTCCGCTGACAAGCAGGAACTATAGCTGTGCTCCTCCGCCTCCTGGCTGTCTGTCCGCCCCTCAGCTAGCCTCCACCTCCCTCATCTCTGCTAGCCTCCACCTCCCTCCATCTCTATCCCCCTCTCCCATCTCTCCCCGTCTCTGTCTCCCCCTCTTCCGTCTCTCCCCTTTCCTGACTGCCCCTTCCCAGTCCTCACCTTCTCCTTTGAGGAAATCCTGAAGGAACTGGTCCGGCGTGCCAGGATCCTTCAATTGCACGGCAATCTTAGAATAATAATAGAGGGAGACCACGACGTCCCTGGGGTTTCGGCCCAAGTAAATCACCTGTGCAGACAGTGGGTAGGGAAGGTGTCAAGTACAGTAGAACCCGTCCCCAGGCCGCTTGCTCTGCTCCCCCTCTTCTGACCCTGTGGGGTGGGACATCCGAAGGGACAGGGCTTCCTCCAGCCACATCAGAAGTCAGGGAGGGGCCGTTTCTGAGCCAGTTTGGTGGAAGTCAAGACGAGAGAGATCATGATGAGACACACTGACAGGGAGACAGGCAGGTGGATCTCTGTGAGTTCAAGGTCAGCCTGGGCTATACACTGAAGCCTCTTTTTTGTTGTTGTTTTTGTTTTGTTTTGTTTTTTCGAGACTGGGTTTCTCTGTATTGTTTTGGAGGCTGTCCTGGAACTTGCTCTGTAGACCAGGCTGGCCTCAAACTCACAGAGATCTGCCTGCCTCTGCTGGGGTTAAAGGTGTGCACCACCACTGCCTGGCTTTTTTTGGGGGGGGACGACAGGGTATTGTTCTGTAGCCTAGGATGATGGAAATCAGGACCACCCTCCTGCTCCAGCTTCCCAAGCACTGGGGTGACAGGCACACATTACCGCATCTAGCCTAGAATCTCTCCCCTTTAAAAGGTGGTCTCTCAAAGGTCACATGTTCAAGTGTGTATTCACGGTGCAACTACTCCACTGATCAGTCTCACCCTCCGCACGGCCCACCCCCTTCACCTTGGCCTTGGAGCTGAAGAAGGCCTTTGTGAACAGTTGAATGGGGAGGTGGGAGCTCATGAGGCGGGGGCTGGGCCGGTCTGGGAGGCTGAAGGCGCTTATGATGGTCTCGCACCAGGGCGCACGTTGCCAAATGGGCTCAGAATGGATCCACGAGGGGTCCCCATCTTTCAGGATTAAGCAGAGGATCTCAATCATCCAGTTGGTACCTGCCAAGAGAACAGAACGGTTAGCTGGCAGCAGAGGGTCTGCCGAGGGGCAGGAATGGAAACACCCCCCCAACGGCAGCAAAGCAGCTGGGAAAGCAGGAGGCAAGGCAGGGGACAACTAGCCAGGTGCTGAATACGACTGTCATCCGGCACTCTGGAGGCTAAGGCTGGAAGACCACTTTGAATCTGAGGCCAGTCTGGGTTACAGTGTGAAACCTGGTCTCAGAAAACAAAACAGGGGTATGGTGGTCGATTAAGAATGGCACCATAGGCTCATACATTGGAAAGTTTGGTCTGCAGGGAGCGGCACTATTTGAAAGGTCTAGAAGGTGTGGCCTTGATGGAGGAACTGTGTCACTGCGGGTGGGCTTTGAAGTTTCAGAGGCTCAAGCCAGGCCCAGAGGCACGCTCTTCCTGCTGCCTGAGGATCTGGATGTAGAGCTCTCAGCTACCTGCATGCCACTGAGCTCCCTGCCATGAGGACAATAGACTGACCCCATGAAGCTGTAAGCCAGCTCCAATCACACGTTTTCCTCACTAGAGTTGCATGGTCATGGTGGTTCTTCATGGAGAGATGGCTCAGTGGTTAAGAGAACTGGCTGCCCTTGCAGAAGACCCAGGTTCAATTCCCAGCATCTACATGACAGCTCACAACCACTCCTTACTCTCGTGCCAGGGGATGTGACACCCTCTTCTGGCCTCTGCGGGCACTGCACATACATGGTGCACACACATAAATGTAAAAGACCCATCTGCATAAAATTTTTAAAAAGTTAAATGAAGGGCTGGAGAGATGGCTCAGAGGTTAAGAGCACTGACTGCTCTTCCAGAGGTCCTGAGTTCAATTCCCGGCAACCACATGGTGGCTCAGAACAATCATCTATAATGAGATCTGGTGCCCTCTGCTGGCCTGCAGGCAGAAGAATGTATACGCAAGAAATACAATATTAAAAAAAAAAAGTTAAATGAAATAAAAGGCTTAGGGCCAGCAAGATGACACAGAGGACTACTGCCAAGTCGACCTGAGTTCAAGCACTAGGATTTTCATGGTGGGAGCAGAGAACAAACTACTACAAGTTCTTCTCTGACCTCCACTCACTCTGTGGTACACACGCGAACACACACACACACACACTATGACAGGGGCTGTGTTCTGGCCTCTGTGGGCAATGTGCTCACATGGTGCATATACATGTGAGTAAAACGTGCATATGCATAAAATAAGAATAACTACAAGACTGTCACTGCAGCTCTGGGAGAACTGCGACTGTTCCCTGCACTGGCTGCTCATGGAGATCCGGGTGTCTTGGGAGGGGACACTGCTGCCTTGGTGTGTGTCCCCTTCACTTACCTCTCCTCTGCATGACTCCAGCCCAACCAGCAAGCAGGAACCCCTCACTCAGCCACCAAATGCACACTGCATGCAAAGTCTGCCTTCCTGTGTGTGTGGTGCCTGCGTGCTTGGGGAAGATTTTCCCACTTGTGAATGTGTAGGGGTCAGAGGAAAACGTTCTGTCTTCTTCTAAAATCTCATGTCTCCTACCTTACCCTCTCCCCTAACTGGCCGCCCGTGAATCCCCAGAATCGATTTGTCTTTACCCGGAGCACTGAAGTCACAGGCACAAGCTGTCTACCATGCTTGACTTTTATGTGGGTCCTGGGACTCACATTCAGGTTTCAGCCTCATGTCAAGTGCATTGACATGGTGAGACATTTCATCATCCTTATTTTTAACTGATTATTTTTGTTACAGTTGTTTTCAAGATCTCACTGTGTAGCCCTGGCTGTCCTGAAACTCACTATGCAAACCAGGCTGACCTCAGATTCAGAGATCTTCCTGTTTCTGCCTCTTGGGTACTGGGAGTAAAGCCACTACACCTGGCCGTTTATTTCTATGTTTTTTTTTATTTTAATCTTTTGTCTGTCTGCAGTAAGAGGGATTGAGTTGGAGTTTCAGAAATGCTAAGCAGGGGGACTGGAGAGATGGCTCAAAGGTTAAGAGCACTGGCTGGTCTTCGAAAGGTCCTAAGTTCAATTCCCAGCAACCACATGGTGGCTCACAACCATCTATAATGAGATCTCATACCCTCTCTGGCTTGCATGCCAGAACACTGTATGCATTATAAATAAATAAATCTAAAAAAAAAAAGAAATGTTAAGCAGGGGCTCTACCACTGAGTCACGCCCCAGCCCCTCACTGGGGGATTCTAGGCTGAGCTACATCTTCATTTCTTTTTACTTCTTGTCATGAGACACACAAAGATCACATTAAGCAGTGGTGGCTCACAGCTTTAATCCCAGAACTCAGGATGCAGAGGCAGGTGGATCTCTGTGAGTTTGAGGCCAACCTGGTCTACAGAGCGAGTTCCAGGACAGCCAGGGCTACACCAAGAAACAAAACCCAAAATAAACAAACAAAAACCACATTAAGCTGTCCAGGGCCAGCCTTGGGGGTCCTCCTTCCTCAGTCCCTGGTCCAGCAAAGACAGCAGGCCTATGCCACCAGGCCCAACTTATCTCTTATATCTGAATGCCATGTTTCAGCAAGGAGCCCTGTCCCTGCCCAGGAGCCCAAGGCTCAGTAGCCTTGGGCCTTGTGTTGCTCGTGGTCTCAGCCACCAGCAGAGGGCGCCCGAGGAACATTAATTGTTCGACTGTTCTCAGAGGCAGCTACCTCTTTTGGCATGTCATCACTAGCGCAGGGGATGGACAATGACAAACGTTCTCCACCAGAGCATCTCAGCACCTCTCGGGTGAATCCTGAGACAGGAGCAGGGAAGCCCCACTCCCGATTCACTGATGCCCGGGGGTCTTCTTCCCTGCAGGGGGCGGGGGCTATTCCATGCCTGTGGTCTCCCTGTCCTCCGGGGACCAGCTCATAGATAAAGTCCCTTCCCTTTGTGTTAGAAAACACACAAACGCAGACCTCACCATCCTAAGCATTTCCGTTTGGCGACATACATGCAACCACGCTGTTTTGGAAACGTCACCCCGTCGACACCTAAACTTTGTTCTTTTCCCAAACAGAAATTGTAATCGTTAGACAGACACCCTCCTTTCTCCCCTCATGAAGCCCCCGTTACCGATTTCTGTCTCACAGTTTCTCCCTACAAGCATAGCTACTTTAAGGGCCACATTTAATTCCTTTTGTGTCTGGGTTATTTCTCCCAGTACGTGTCTGTAAGGTTCACTCTTGCAGTAGCGTGAGTAAGATTTTTTTTTAAGACAGGGTCTGTGTGCCTGGGGCTGGCTTCAAATCCAATCTGTAGCTCCGGATGACCTTTAACCCCTGATCCTCTCATTTCCCTCCACATGCTGGGATTACAGACATGCACCACTGTACCCAGATTCTCCAGTGAGCCTCAGCTGTCAGCACAGTCCAGGGTTACCCAAGGCTCTCCGGTGGGGGACTGCCTTGATCAGATCAGTTTGAGGACTTGTCTGGGGGGGTATTTTCCTTTTCTTTCTCTCTTTTTATATTCGTTATTTATTTGCTTGAGACAGGGTCTCACTATGTAGCCCTGCTGGCCCGGAATTTGCTACCTGCACCAAGCTGGTCTCAGGATCACTTGTCCCCGCATCCTCAGTGCTGGGATCAAAGGCCTATGCTTCCGTGGGCATATTCTTGACTACTATTGACATAGAAGGGCCCAGCCCACTCTGGGCAGAGGGTCCTGGGTTTTATAAAGAGTTAGCTGAGCACAGGGGCAAGCAGGTAAGGTTGGTTCTGCTTCAAGTCCTGATTGAATTCCTGGTCTGACTTCCCTCGTCGATGGTCTGTGGCTTGGAATTGTAAAGCATTACAAGCTCTTTCTTCCTGCGCTGCTTCAGGTCAGGGTGTTTCCAACCACAAAAAGAACGCCAGAACACTGGCTGTCCTTCCTACGAAGACCGAGTGACAGTCTGTATGTGAGTGCAGAATGGAGTGGAGAGGAAGAGCCCCCCCCCACAAACATGTTGGGTAGCAGGCATGGCTCTAGGCTCAGAGAGCACGGCAGTGTCCAATGCAGACAAAGCTCTTGGAGTTTCCCCAGATAACCCTTCCAGCAAGAAAGCAGAGATTCCATCAGCGAGGCTGTGCCTGGTGGCACACACCCACCCGCCCAGAGCCTGAGACACTGAGACGGGAGGGCCAGGGATTCAAGGCTAGCCTGAGCTACATGAAAACCTGTTTCAACAAAAGAAAGTACCCACCAGACCACACAGTGGCCAAGGGAACAGGGAGTGCTGACGGGACAGGGAGGGTCTGGTAACACTCAGTGCTGTGATGCCCAGGGGACAGGGGTGGTCTGGGGTCACTGTTGCAGCCCTGGAGGGGACAGGGGAGGTCTGGGGGCTTTGTTGCAGCCCTGGAGGGAGGGGACAGGGGGGTCTGGGGTCACTGTTGCAGCCCTGGATGGAGGGGACAGGGGGTTCTGGGGTCACTGTTGCAGGCCTGGAGGGAGGGGACAGGGGAGGCCTGGGGGTGCCGTTGCAGCCCTGGAGGGAGGGGGTTGGCCAGGTTTCAGAGTCTGCCTGGGACAGGGAGTTAGTGGTTGGAGCACAGGAAGGTGCTTCCAGCAGAGGACAAAGTCCCAGTTTTGGAGGGTCCTCCTTTTCTTCCCCACTTCATCCCTGAGCCCAAGCAAGCACCGTATGTACCTGATTTGGGGTAGGTGACAATGAAGATGTCCTCATCGCGCACGTTGTTAGTGTTCTCGGCCAGGCTGAGGCTCTCAGGTGAGTACATGCCGACTGGAAAGGGGATGCCTTTGTACCTGAAGTACTCGCCCTGCAGCTTCTGGCTGTAAGAGAGGAAAGGCAGTGAACCAGGAGGTGGGCAGCAGGCTGCAGGCCCTCCACGGCACCCTGGTGGGCACTGTCCTGCCTCGTGGCCTCGCCTGCCCACCTGAAACGTGCACAGACACCCGGGACGTCAGGCCTATCACCCTCATGTTATGGGTGTAGAAAGCTGGGCACAGACAGCAGGAGCGACTTGCCCAGCAGCTGGCAGGAGGCAGAGCACTTCACATCTGTAAGACAGAGCTAAGTGTTCTCCTCGTGTTTACTCCGCATCCCAACCCTGGAAGGCAACGCCACGTGACCAGGCCATTTTACAAATGAGGAACCCAAGCCAAAGGTAGCAGGTGCCCTGCCCACGCTGCAGAGCCCATGTGAAAACCCACAATGACTCACTGAGAAGCTAAAACGATCTAGCTGCTTTTCCTAAAGCCATGACGCATTTATGCAGTCAAAGAACTGCGTCTCCAAAGAGAAAACTGAACCCAGGGCTTCCGGAATGGTGCGGGATGAGCCATCCTCTATTAATTTGTCGGAGACAAGGTCTCACTAAGCTGCCCCAGAGAGTCTTGAACTTTTGGTTCTTGGGTCTCAGCCTCCTATGTAACTGGGATGGCAGACCTGAGCCACCAGGCTCATCTAGAATGTGGATTTTATCTCATGAGTTACTAGTAGTGGGCTTGAGTCTTGGTGCTAGCCCATTAGCCTCTTGTCCTGTCACTGAACTACGATGCTCGGATTCATATTTTGGGGACAAAAAGACACTACAGCAAATTGATTTTTTTTTTTTTTTGGTTTTACGAAACAGGGTTTCTCTGTATTGTTTTGGAGGCTGTCGGTCCAGCCTGGCCTCGAACTCACAGAGATCCGCCTGTCTCTGCCTCCCAAGTGCTGGGATTAAAGGCGTGCGCCACCACCGCCTGGGTGCAAATTGCTTAATTTTGAAGAACAGTACCCACTAAAAGTTCATAAGAACAGCTCTTGGTTACATCTGCTTCAGACTCTTGATAGGAGCCAAGCATCCTCAGACACGGGTTACAAGGGCCTGGCTTCTGTTTCTGGTTTCGTGGCACTCTGTCTGAGGGAGCGGTTCCCGCACTCCACTACTGCGCAGTAACTGAATGCCGTCAGTCTCCCACTAAAGTCCTCTGCATGTCACCTTTGCAGGTCCCTGTGAATGTCCCTCTCAAAATGGGAGGGGCCAAAGACCCAGGAAGGTTAGGATGGCCAGAACTGTGTCTGTCACCAGCTGCTCTTACAACACCTCTCTCACTTTGAGTGAGACCAGTGGACCACGCTGGTCGTTCCCCAGACAAAGGAAGCTGAGGCAGGTGGACAGAAAGCAAAGACCAGCTCCAAAAGCACAGAGAGGTCCAGTCTCAAAAAATAAGAAGCTGCTGGGTGGCGCACGCTTTTAGTCCCAGCATTGGGAGGCAGAGGCAGGAGGATCTCTGTGAGTTCAAGGCCAACCTGATCTACAGGAGTTTCGGGCAACCAAGGCAACACAGTATAAACCCTGTCTCAAGTCCCCCTGCCCCCCCTCAAAAAAAGGAGCTGGGGAGTTTTTGACTCAGTGGCTAGGAGTACTTACAGCTATTTCAGAAAACTCAAGTTCTGATTCTAGTACCTACATAAAGCGACGCCTGTGATACCATCCGATGCCCTCTTCCAGCCTTCATAGGTACCCATACAGACACACACGGAGACCACATGCACATAAACACAATTAAATATGCCTTAAAAAAAAGAAAGTTTGGGCCGGGCGGTGGTGGCGCTCGCCTTTAATCCCAGCACTTGGGAAGCTGAGACAGGTGGATCTCTGTGAGTTCGAGGCCGTGGAATGGAAAATCCCCAGCGAGGGGCTGGGGTTGGCTCAGCAGTAGAGCTCTTTCCCAGGGTGAAGGGTGGGCACGGCTGTGTGGTTTGTCATGAGGCCCTGGATTCCATCCCGAGAGCAGGAACAACAATGGTGCTGATGATGTTGGTGCTGAGAGTTTGATTCTGAACACATAGGTGAAACTCAGAAACACATTCAGGAGTCCTCGCCATGGGAAGCTCTCTGTGACTTAGTTTTTTGATACATATATGGGCATAATAACTGCTGCCTTGTAGCATTTTGTAAAGTGCCCAAGCCGCTGTCTAACATGGAGAAAGTGTTGCGTCACCGTTGGTTAAATTTCACAGAGGACTGCAGGAGGCTGTAAGCAGTCATCGGGCAGCCTGGCAGCCTGGCTTGAAGCTCGCATCCCATAAACCTAAGCTAAAACAGTCATTTTACACAACAGTGGATTAGCAACATTGAGGCCCTGCTCAGGCCAGCTAGCAAGGCAACGTACCTTCAGTAAGTTGTGATTTTTTTTTTTTTTTTTTGGTTTTTCGAGACAGGGTTTCTCTGTATTGTTTTGGAGGCTGTCCTGGAACTCGTTTTGTAGACCAGAATGGCCTCAAACTCACAGAGATCCGCCTGCCTCTGCCTTCCCAGTGCTGGGATTAAAGGCGTGAGCCACCAACACCCAGCAAGTTGTGAATTCTTTACAGACTTCATCTGCCCAGTGGTCTTATCACTTTTCTATAGTTGAGCCTAAGGGTAGGATGCGTGATGTCACCAGTTACCAGGTAGATTTGGCTCAGCAAGCGGGAGCAGTGAGATCAACAGTTACCAGGCTGATGGATGCCTGCCCATGGTTTTGTCTAACCTGCCTCGCCGCCGCCTTGAGCCTCAGTTTCCACACACGGACAGTAATAATCACTGTTCCAAGCCTTCACTCCTACTGAGGATATACGGGCTTGTATATCTTAAATACTAGGCTCTTAAGAGACGCTCAGTAGCCCCAAGTATGATTTATAGTCTTTGATCTCAAGAGCTCCTTGAGAGAGCTATTTATTTCCCATTACAGGAGAGGGAAACTGAGTCACCTTCAGAGAAGAATCTTGTGCCCTTAGGCACCCTGAAATGATTCCTGGCTGACTAAGTAAATTAATGTGGACACCTTGGCCACTGCACCACTGGTTAAAAAAACAAAACTCAGCCAGGCGGTGGTGGCGCACGCCTTTAATCCCAGCACTCGGGAGGCAGAGACAGGCAGATCTCTGTGAGTTTGAGGCCATTCTGGTCTACAAAACGAGTTCCAGGACAGCCTCCAAAACAATACAGAGAAACCCTGTCTCGTAAAACCAAAAAAAAAAAAAAAAAAAAACCTCTGAATGCAGCTCTCGTACCAAGAGGCCAAGCAGCCAGGGCTCAGGCTGCTGACACCCAAGTCATTTTTGTTTGTTTGCTTGTTTGTTTTCCCAAGACAGGGTTTCTCTGTACTGGTTTTTTTTTTTTTTTTTTTGGTTTTTTGAGACAGGGTTTCTCTGTGGCTTTGGAGGCTGTCCTGGAACTCGTTCTGTAGACCAGGCTGGCCTTGAACTCACAGAGATCCGCCTGCCTCTGCCTCCCGAGTGCTGGGATTAAAGGCGTGCGCCACCAACGCCCGGCTCCAAGTCGTGTGTGAGTGAATGGATGAGTGAGAGAGGAGATGGTGACAAGTGAATCAAATGAATGAGGGAGAGAATGGATGGATGGATGGATGGATGGATGGATGGATGGATGGATGGATGGGTGGATGGATGGATGGATGGATGGATGGCTGGATGGATGGGTGGATGGAAGGATGGATGGATGGATGGATGGATGGATGGATGGATGGGTGGATGGATGGGTGGATGGATGGATGGAAGGATGGATGGGTGGATGGATGGATGGAAGGATGGATGGGTGGATGGAAGGATGGATGGATGGATGGATAGATGGATGGGTGGATGGATGGATGGATGGATAGATGGATGGGTGGATGGATGGATGGAAGGATGGATGGGTGGATGGGTGGATGGATGGGTGGATGGGTGGATGGATGGATGGATGGGTGGATGGCTGGATGGATGGGTGGATGGATGGATGATGGATGGATGGATGGGTGGATGGGTGGATGGATGGATGATGGATGGATGATGGATGGATGATGGATGGATGGATGGGTGGATGGGTGGATGGATGGGTGGATGGATGGATGGATGGGTGGGTGGATGGATGTGTAGATGGATGGGTGGGTGGATGGATGGGTGGGTGGGTGGATGGGTGGATGGATTGGTGGATAGATGGATGGGTGGATGAAAGACCACCCGAGAGAACTGATTGAGAAAATGAACCAAAGCACAGAATTGAGACAAAGGAGTGACTAAATGAAGGACAGAGTGAAAGACAGGCCCAGAGCACTTGTGTCCCCCCCCCTGCCTGTGCCATCAGCCCTGGATACCGTAGAGACGTCACCAGGGGAGGAACGCTGAGATTCCAGAGTCCCTCGACCCTCCTGCGGGCTCCTCCATGCCCTCTTCCTCATCCCCACCTTCATGCCAGCTCTGGCCTCCACCCGGCTGCTCGGCTCTGCGGAGTCCATCTCTCTAACCCTGCTGCTCCTAAGCTCACACAGCCTCTCTGGGTTCATGTCTTGTGGTTTCCTCACACTCACAGGCATGTCTCTCCACATTAGCACTGCAGGTGATGAGAGCTCATCCTCACAAAGCAGCCAGCTCGGCCCCCATGGTAGACAAGGAAGGGCTGAGTTTAGACAGCTTTCCATGCCAGGAGACGGGCGGAAGGAGGAAAAGTCACCATCGCCCTTAGCCCCGACTACTGTAGCCATCACACGTTTATAATCCTGTCTCCACTAAGGCCACAGTCACTCCGCACCAGCAGGAGGGGACCCACCGAGGACCAGGTGCTTCTGCCCTTCCCATGCTCAAACCTGCAGCGCATCTTACTGAAAGGAAGACACCCATCTACCCTGTCCCTCTGTGCCGTCCCCTCTGCTGACACAACACACTGGCTTTGCTCTTCCCGTATTCTGAGTCAACCCTGCTGTAGGGTTCTGCACAGGCTGTACCCTCACCTTCCTCTACAGATTCTTGCCCTCCCCAGGTAAATCTGTCATGATGTCACTGAGCCTCATCATCGAGGACACCCTGTGGACAATGGGCCATCAGCGTGCACACACACACACACACACACACACACACACACACACACACACACACACCTGGGTTGCCTTAGTTCACACAGCTCAGGCTGAATATTGCCTCATCTCACCTAAAACCCAGGGCTCAGAGAGGCTCAGTTTTGTATTTTGGAATAGCTGCATACGCACACGGAGAAGCCTTGAGAAAGAGGCCCGAGTCTAAACAGTTCACAGACGCTTCCCACACACTTTCCCAGCCCCAAAGGCTTTTCATCTGACGTTTTTGGTGCGCCATGTTTTGGCTCTGACTGGTTCTCTGAGGTCAGGCATGCCACCTTCTACCCGTGGTGCCATGCCAGCACTAAAAGTGTTTGGATTCTGGGTTGTTTAGGTCTTCAGATACTGAATAGACGTAATCAAGCTTTGTATCCTGGCTACCTTCTTTGTCCAGTGAAAACACTTCTTTAGATTAATTTGTTTATATTATATGCGTGGGTGTTTTGCCTTCGTGTGTCTGTGTACCACAGGCAGTGGCTGCAGAGGCCGTACAGACGACAGAAACGGAGTTCTGACAGTTCTGAGCTGCCACGTGGTGCTGAGAATTGAAGCTAGGTCCTGCGCAAGAGCAGCCAGTGCTGTTATGGCTAAGCCATCTCTCCAGCCTCAACAATCATTTATTTTTGGTCTATCTGTTTTGGTTAACGTCTCCAAAATACTTCTAGAACTGCCTGCACTGGGGAGAGAGCATTTGCGTCACTGAAGGAAAGGATTTTTACCTCACAGTCCTCCCTGACCTTGTGGATTCAGGCAGCAACTCCATGAGGCTTCTGATGATCCCTGACTTAGGAGAGATGATGGAGGTTCAGAGAGGCGGAGCTACCTGGCTAATGTCACACAGCCAAGGGGGCCAGAGCAGATTTGAACCCAACAAATTAGGGAGACACAAAATTGGCCCAGGCAGTTCAGAGGTGCACTGGTCATAACTGTCCCCAACCCCACCACATTAGCTTCACAAAGCTGACCAATGTTATCTTATAGTTACGATACCTGGATGAAGTATCCTTACATAATCAAGGTTATAAAGCACAATTGCTTCCTCTTGGGTGTTAATCCAAGAGAAACAAAACATTTGGAGCTGGGCGGTGGTGGCGCACGCCTTTAATCCCAGCACTCGGGAGGTAGAGGCAGGCGGATCTCTGTGAGTCTGAGGCCAGCCTGGTCTACAAGAGCTAGTTTCTGGATCATGTCTCATGATAAAGGAAGTGGGAGAAAAGAGGAAGGAAGAAGAGAGAAAGAAGAGGAGGAAATAGAAGGGGGAGGAGGGAGAGGAGGAAGGGGAAGAGGGAGAGGAGGAGGGAGAGGAGGAGGGAGAAGGGAGAGGAGGGAGAACAGGGAGAGGAGGGAGAACAGGGAGAGGAGGAGGGTGAGGAGGAGAGAGAGGAGGAGGGAGAGGAGGAGGGAGAGGAGGAGGGAGAGGAGGAGAGCAGGCGGAGGGGGTGGGGGACTCATCTCAAGCAGGGAGCTCTGGAACAGGACATTTCCGTTTGGTCCCGCGGTCAGAGGCGCCCCTCTGAGGACATGAGGATGCTCACTCGGACTCTGGCGTGTGGCAGGCCGCAGCCCCGCCCAGCCAGTCCCCACTGTCTCAGCCGCCAGACTGTCCTGCTGACTCGTGTTGGGGTCACCTCACCAGAGGCCCCCAGCCTGGGCCAGCCCCAGTCAGGTAGCATTCCAGCCGCCCAGGCTTGGCCTGCCAGGCTGCCCTTCCCCACACCCCTGCTCACCTCCACGCTGGCCTCTGCATGGAGAGCGCATCGCTGCCAGGTCCCCAAGTCCACTCGGCAGCAGGACTCACCTTTAGCCAGCGCCAGGGGAAAGCCGCGCGCGCGCTCGCGTAACCTCGCTGGACCTTCGTTCCCAGCCGCATCCCAGCCCAGGCCCTTCGTTCCGCTGCTCTGCGGGCCACCACTTAGTACTTGGTTTCTTTGTGTGTTTCCTTCTTTCCGTGCCTCTTCCCCCCGGTAAGGAAACTGGGATGGCTTTCTACTCTCAGGAACCAGGGAGAGCAGGGTGAGGGCAGTACTTCGTGCATCTGTTAGATGAACAAACAAGTCTCCCTCCCACCCCTGAGATGTTCCGGATACACAGGTGACCTTGAACCCAGTGAGAGACAAAGATGCTGACTGCAGCCCTGAGGAACCAGAAGCCAGGAGGGAAATGAGTGCTCAGGAAATGTTGCACCCAGCTCCCCAAAGACACTTCCATCTCCCCCGCCCCCGCCCCCACCCCTACACTGGGTTTCTCTGAGTAGACCAGGCTGGCCTCCAACTCAGAGATCCGACGGCCCCGCCTCCTGGGTGCTAACTACCACGCCCGGCATGTTTCCATATTGACAGTACCCTCAGCTGGCATCCATTACATTTCTGAAATTTACCACACACAAACATTTGCTTTAAAGAAACCAGAAACAAACTGAACTCTAGTAATCCGCAGCCCAGAATGTGCAGGGGTCAAAAGTCCTGGTGCGCAGCTTCAGCTTAAAATGCACCCAGGAAGTTGGGTCCGGTGGGACAGGCTTGTCACCCCAGCACCTGGGAGGCTGAGGCAGGAGGATCTTGATTACAAGGTCAGCCCGTGAAATTTAACGAGACCCTGTCTCAAAACAGGAAGAGAAGTCTGGTGGTGGCGCACACCGTTAATCCCAGCCCCTGGGAGGCACAGAGGGTGGATCTCTGAGGATTCTAGGCCACGCTGGTGTACATAGAGAGACCCTGCCTCAAAAAAAAAATAGTGAAAGGAGATGGTAAGCGCTGGCCTGGCAGCAGAGCTCAATCCTAGTGCTACCCAGAGCAAAGTTTATTTCTAGCTGTGGATCACATGCACACACACACACACACACACACACACACACACACAGACAGACACACACACACACCTATCTGTAACCATTTATTCATGAGTGGGGAACTGTCGAGGTCATTGCCATGTGAGCCCATTGCCATGTGAGTATCAGGAAAGACGTGTGTGTGTGTGTGTGTGTGTGTGTGTGTGTGTGTGTGTGTGAGCATATGTGTGTGCATGTGTGTGCATTTTCGAGAGTGTGTGCGTGCGTGTGCGTGTGTGTGTGTGTGTGTGTGTGTGTGTGTGCGCGCGCGTGCGCGTGTTCCATGCTGCTCTGGGACTCCTCTTGCTCCTACTCTCCCAGCCTGACTGATCGCACACCTGGCATCTCACTCTTCTCTTTGTTCACTGTTCGGCGACTGTAACACGGAGACTTTGAGGTCCATCTATGCCATCTAACCCCCCCAATCCACCGCCCCCAAATGGTAGGGTTAAGCCCAGGACCTGGTTCCTGTTGGGCAGAGCTCTACCACGGAGCCACATCCCAGCCCTTACTGGGACATTCTAGGCAGGGTTCTGCCATGGAGTGACGCCCCAGCTTTAGCTCATGCTATGCAAATAATACCATGCCCACTCCTGCTGTGTTCTTATTTTTAGTTAAAAGTTTCCTTCTGGGGCTGGAAAAAGACTCAGCGGTTAAGAGCACTGGCTGCTTTTCCAGAGGACCTGGCTCAGTTCTCAGCACGCACGTGGCGGCTCACAGCTGTCTGTGACTCCAGTTCTGTGGGGTCTATGCCGTCCATAGGCACCAGGCACGTGTGTGTAGACATCATACATGCCTGAGAAACACCACACACACGAAATAAAAACTTTACACTCTTGTTCCTTAAAAAGCATTTCATGAGCCGGGCATTGGTGGCGCACGCCTTTAATCCCAGCACTCGGGAGGCAGAGGCAGGCGGATCTCTGTGAGTTCGAGGCCAGCCTGGTCTACAAAGTGAGTTCCAGGACAGCCTCCAAAGCCACAGAGAAACCCTGTCTCGAAAAACCAAAAAAAAAAAAAAAAGCATTCCATTTGAGGAACGGTACCCGACAAAGCACATTTTGACGAGGAGGCAGGAGCTCCTGTGGCAGCCACCGTCAGGAGGCAGAACTTTGTAGGCCGCATGTAGCTTCCCATGCGCCCCCTCAGTGGCCACTGCTGCTCTGGTGTCCTCCCCCTCCCCCATACTGAATGAGACTGGTCCTGGACTCTGATGCCATCCTACTAGCTATTCCCTGGTATCTGGCTGTTTTTGCTCAGGCAAAGGTGGTTGATACTTCCTAGGTTTGCAAAAGAAGTTGCCCTCAGGCCTGCATAGATTCCAGAATGTGAGGGTACTCCAGTATCTAACATAAAATGGAATAGCCATGGGCCTGGTCACACAGGCCTGCAACCACAATACTCAGAAGACTGAGACAGGAGAATTACTTTGAATTCATGGACACCCTGGGCTATAGAACCTGTTTCAAAACAATACATATATATAATGTTCTTAGTTTTTCAAGACAGGGTTCGTCTGTGTAACCACTCTGGCTGGCCTGAAACTCAGTTTGTAGACCAGGCTGGCCTCAAACTCACAGAGATCCGCCTGCATTTGCCTCCTGAATGCTGGGACTAAAGGCGTGTGCCACCACATCCAGCTTAAAACAAATAATTTTAAATGGTGTTTTTATGCCCAGCAGCTGATTGACCACACAATACCTAATTTAGGTCTTGAGATGCAGCCCCCTCCTGGTGCATTTGAGAGAGGAGGACAGAGGCTGGGAGATGGGCGTCAGTTGAGGGGCCTTAGTTCCCTGAAGGGCTTGAGCGGCCTCCTCCCCACCCGCTCTGGACAGGCTCACTCTGTTCTCAAATGCTCCACGCTCTACCACACCAGGCTCCTAGCGGCCTCTTGCCTGGGGCACTTCCCACTTCTCTGACATGCGCCCCCATCTGCCCAACCTCTGTGTGCCTCTACTGCACTGAGCCTCACGCAGACCCAGCCACCCGCCACATGCTGCTGAGTGTTCACGGTATGACCTCCGGGGCAGGGGAAGGAGGCTGTCCTCCATCTGTTACTGACTTGATGTCAGCTCTGAAGGTGGGGAGCTGTGTTAGCAGGCTGGGGACAGCCAGGGCCTGCTAGCTGACTTGTCAGCTGTGACCACGGTGAGATCAAAATGGAAAAGGAATCTCTCCCCAGGCACGCAGCTGCCTGAGCGGTCACCAGACAGAGAAAACACATACCGCAGGTCTCAGGCTCAGTGTGGGAAAGGAGAAACTACCTCACCTACAGTGAAGCTTTTCGCTTTTTGTTTGTGTGTTTGTTTTGTTTTTTGTTTGTTTTGTTTTAAAGGCAGGGTCTTGGCCGGGGTGTTGGTGGCACACACCTTTAATCCCAGCACTCGGGAGTTCGAGGCCAGCCTGGTCTACAAAGCAGCCTCCAAAACAATACAAAAAGAAAAAGAAAAAAAGGGTCTCACTCTGTAGCCCAGGCTAGCCTCAGGCTTGTAGTGATTAGCGATTCCTTTTTTTTTTTTTTTTTTTTTTTTTTTTGTTTCTCGAGACAGGGTTTCTCTGTATTGCTTTGGAGGCTGTCCTGGAACTCGCTATGTAGTGCTGGGATTAAAGGCGTGCGCCACCACCCCAAGCTTGTAGGGATTCTTTTGCCTCCACTTCCTACACACTGAGACGACAGGTGTGAGCCTTCTCTTCCACTTATGTTTAGCTGTGGCATCAAGGCAACATTTACCTGGGGGCTCATGTTGAGTCTAAATAAGTGAGGTGTTGGAAAGCTGAAGGCATGACTCAGTGGCAATGCCCTGCCTAGAGTCCCCTAGTGGGGGGCTGCTGTGTGGTTCAGCGGAGTGATGTCCACAGAGGCCTGGCTCCAGCCCATCTAACCCAGCACTAGGAAGGAAAGGGTTAGAGCTAGGGAGATGGCCTGCGGGGACAGTGCTTGCTGTGTAAGGATGAGCGTGTAGGTTCAGATTCTATGCACCATGTGAAGATGGCCACTGTGGTGTGTGTGTGTGGTGTGTGTGGTGTGTGTGGTGTGTGTGGTGTGTGTGTGTGTGTGTGTGTGTGTGTGTGTGTGTGTGGTGTATCTCAGGGCTGTGTGTGTGTTGTGTATCTCAGTGCTGTGGTGTGTGTGTCTTGGTGCTGTGGTGTCTGTCTGTCTGTATCTTGGTGCTGTGGTAGGGCAGAGGAAAACAGATCTCTGGGACTCTCTAACCAACCAATCTAGACAAAATGGAGAGCTCCAGTATCTCACAAAATAAGGTAGAGGAGTTAGAGAGACAGCTTAGCAGTAAAAGCACTTGGTGCTCTTGCAAGGGATACAAGTTTGGATCCCAGAACTCATGTGAAGCAGATGACAACTGCCTATAACTCCACTCCAAGGGATCTGGCGCCCTCTTCTGGCATCCTATGGCACCTGCACAAACATAGCAGCACATGTGCACACACACATACACACACACACACACAACAATTGAAAAATGTGGACAGTAATAGAATAAGATGCCCATCTCCAGCCGTCACATGTACATGATGTACATGCACAGGTGAGTTTACCAGTACATACATGTGCACACAATACATAATCACATTCAGAAACACACACACACACACACACACACACACACACACACACACACACACATAAAGACAGACAGATAGAAAGAAAGAAAGCCAGGCAGGCACGGTGGTGGTTCACACCTTTAATCCTAGCCCTTGGGAGGTGGAGGCAGGCGGATCTCTGTGAGTTCAAGGTCAGCCTGGTCTACAGAGTGAGTTCCAGGACAGCCAGGGCTACACAGAGAAACCCTGTCTCAAGCAAATGAGAGAGGGGGAGGGGGGAGACCCAGGGGGGCCCCCAGAGACCCTGGACAAAAGAGGGGAAGGAAGGAAGGTCCAGCAGGTGTGTTACACAGGAGTGTGTGTGCCTGTGAGCAGGACTCTGGGCTCAGGCTTGGCTGGGGAACTCCTAGTTTCTCTTTCTCTACCTGCTCCCCCACACACACATTTCCTGGCTCAGGAGGACTCAGTGGCAGTTGGAAAAGGAAGTAGGAGAAAAAAAATCTCCAAACCAGCTAAGAATGAAGACTTACAGCTGTTATTTCCCAGCACATGTGAGGCTGAGCAGGACTGCCATGAGTTCAAGGCTAGCCTGGGCTACAGAGTAAAATGAGATTCTGCCTCAAAAACCGGGGTTGGAGAGATGGCTCAGTGTTTTAACATGCATACCACTCCAAGCCTCATTCAGGGGGCTGGGGTTTTCCCAGCAC